TTTCTAATAATTTTGAGATAGACAGCTGCTATAAAAGGAGAGTATATGAGTCTAGCGATCTTTTTTAACAGAGGTAAAAGACACCGAGTTAACCATGTAAAAGTGAAAATTATATATATAAAAAAATCAATGTTATGAGGACAAAACACGAACAAGGTATTTCTATATCAACAAATCATCTGTACGGCCTAGCGATAAAAGACTACAAATAGCCGCGAACTCTTTTGACTATTTCTGGTAATCTGGATGGGTAGGTAAATCATAAACAGCATGTGATGCTTGTCTTTTTGCGTTGTTGTCAGTGCCGATAACGAGTATGTGGTGAGAATCAAAGTTAGTAAACTCACTCAATGCAAATCTAATGTCATGTAAGCACTCAACTAATTAGGAACCATCAATTCTTAATGACGACCTTAACATTTTGTAATGATGTCATCATGTTTTATTATGGAATTTGACCTAGTATAGCAATAAGATGCGGTTTGATTGCCAATGAGACAACTCTTCACAAGAGACCAACATAACGTAGAAGTTATCCTAAAGCTTTCAACAATGAGCAAAGCCCATTACGCATGCTAGCAAGCTATAAAATGCACCGAAATAACGAAATGTAAAACAATTCAAACGAGAAAACTGACAGCCTGATTTATGTTCAAAACAATGAACCGAAACAAATATGATATACAGCTACACACGACAACAACTAAATTACAGACTCCTGACTTGGGACAGACACATACAGACTATTTCGGGGTTGAATGTGTTTGTGGGCGCCCAACCCTCCTCTAAACTATAGAAAGCGGTCGAAAAGGGCAAAACTCATCAGATCGATGCAAAGCCCAAAAACAACTAACAAAAAGACTGAAGACTCGAAGTACATATCTGGAAGTACTCGCAATTACTGAAAGCTAGTTCAAAGTCAATAACAACTAATAAAAAATCATGTATCTAAGAGTACAATTTATACTAGAAGTTTATGTATTAATAAAAATGCTCGGTCATAAGTTCCTTGTATTAGACACACAAGTTCTTTTAAAGAAAAGTAACTTATTTTTAAAGCAATGTTAGAATGTTTGGCGTTGTTGTTCAGTCTTTGGTTTTCTATGTTGTGTTTTATGTACTGTTGTTTGTCTGTTTATCTGTTTATCTGTTGGTCTTTTTCTTTTTTAGCCATGGCGTTGTCAGTTTATTTTTGACTTATGAGTTTGAATGTCCCTTTGGTATCCTCCGTCTCTGTTTTACAGGAAGGCTGGCTGAGATTATAAAAAAAAAAGAAGTTTAACCCTGTTCCCATAGTCAGGACCCTCATCAGTAGTTGTCGTATGTAATATCTTAATGTTTTTGCTATTTGAACAATGTGGTGTTTATGGCAGTTCATTGATTGTTTCTACGACTTTTGAAGTCTCTGGAAGATTTAGAGCTTGACATGTTGTAAAGACACCTGTCTCTGTTAAATCAATCCATGTCTCGTCTAGACTCGGGAAGATTTAGATCTTGACATGTTGTATAGACACCTGTCTCTGTTAAATCAATTCATGTCTTGTCTAGACTCTGGAATATTTAGAGCTTGACCTTTTTTAAAGACACCTGTCTCTGTTAAATCAATCCATGTCCTATCTAGACTCGGGAAGATCTAGAGCTTGACATGTTGTAAAGACACCTGTCTCTGTTAAATCAATCCATGCCCTATCTAGACTCGGGAAGATCTAGAGCTTGACATGTTGTAAAGACGCATATCTCTGTTTAATCAATCCATGTCTCGTCTAGACTCTGGAAGATCTAGAGCTTGACATGTTGTAAATACACCTGTCTCTGTTAAATCAATCCATGTCTCGTCTAGACTCGGGAAGATCTAGAGCTTGACATGTTGTAAAGACACTTGTCTCTGTTAAATCAAGCTAAGTCTCGTCTAGACTCGGGAAGATCTAGAGCTTGACATATTGTAAAGACACCTGTCTCTGTTAAATCAATCCATGTCCTATCTAGACTCTGGAAGATTTTGAGCTTGACACGTTGTAAAGACACCTGTCTCTGTTAACTCAATCAATGTCTCTTCTAGACTCGGGAAGATCTAGAGCTTGACATGTTGTAAAGACGCATATCTCTGTTAAATCAATCCATGTCTCGTCTAGACTCGGGAAGATTTAGAGCTTGACGTGTTGTAAAGACACATGTCTCTGTTTAATCATTCCATGTCCTATCTAGACTCGGGAAGATTTAGAGCTTGACATGTTGTAAAGACACATGTCTCTGTTAAATTAATCCATGTCTCGTCAAGACTCGGGTAGATTTAGAGCTTGCCGTGTTGTAAAGACACCTGTCTGTGTTAAATCAATCCGTCTCGTCTAGACTCGGGAATATTAAGAGCTTGACATGTTGTAGAGACACCTATCTCTGTTAAATCAATCCATGTCTCGTTTAGACTCGGGAAGATCTAGAGCTTGACATGTTGTAAAGACACCTGTCTCTGTTAAATCAATCCATGTCTCGTCTAGACTCGGGAAGATCTAAAGCTTGACATGTTGTAAAGAGACATGTCTCTGTTAAATCAATCCATGTCTCGTCTAGACTCGGGAAGATCTAGAGCTTCACATGTTGTAAAGACACTTGTCTCTGTTAAATCAATCCATGTTCTATCTAGACTCTGGAAGATTTTGAGCTTGACATGTTGTAAAGACACCTGTCTCTGTTAACTCAATCCATGTCTCGTCTAGACTCGGGAAGATCTAGAGCTTGACATGTTGTAAAGACGCATATCTCTGTTAAATCAATCCATGTCTCGTCTAGACTCGGGAAGATTTAGAGCTTGACATGTTGTAAAGACACCTGTCTCTGTTAAATCAATCCATGTCTCGTCTAGACTCGGAAAGATCTAGAACTTGACATGTTGTAAAGACACCCGTCTCTGTTAAATCAATCCATGTCCTATCTAGACTCTGGAAGATTTTGAGCTTGACATGTTGTAAAGACACCTGTCTCTGTTAACTCAATCCATGTCTCGTCTAGACTCGGGAAGATCTAGAGCTTGACATGTTGTAAAGACGCATATCTCTGTTAAATCAATCCATGTCTCGTCTAGACTCGGAAAGATCTAGAGCTTGACACGTTGTAAAGACACCCGTCTCTGTTAAATCAATCCATGTCTCGTCTAGACTCGGGAAGATTTAGAGCTTGACGTGTTGTAAAGACACATGCCTCTGTTTAATCATTCCATGTCCTATCTAGACTCGGGAAGATTTAGAGCTTGACATGTTGTATAGACACCTGTCTGTGTTAAATCAATCCGTCTCGTCTAGACTCGGGAAGATTTAGAGCTTGACATGTTGTAAAGACACCTGTCTCTGTTAAATCAATCCATGTCTCGTCTAGACTCTGGAAGATCCAGAGCTTGACATGTTGTAAAGACACCTGTCCCTGTTAAATTAATCCATGTCTCGTCTAGACTCAGGAAGATCTAGAGCTTGACATGTTGTAAAGACGCATATCTCTGTTAAATCAATCCATGTCTCGTCTAGACTCGGGAAGATTTAGAGCTTGACATGTTGTAAAGACACCTGTCTCTGTTAAATCAATCCATGTCCTATCTAGACTCGGGAAGATTTAGAGCTTGACATGTTGTAAAGACACCTGTCTCTGTTAAATCAATCCATGTCTCGTCTAGACTCGGAAAGATCTAGAGCTTGACATGTTGTAAAGACGCATATCTCTGTTAAATCAATCCATGTCTCGTCTAGACTCGGGAAGATTTAGAGCTTGACGTGTTGTGAAGACACATGTCTCTGTTTAATCATTCCATGTCCTATCTAGACTTGGGAAGATTTAGAGCTTGACATGTTGTAAAGACACATGTCTTTGTTAAATCAATCCATGTCTCGTCAAGACTCGGGAAGATTTAGAGCTTGACGTGTTGTAAAGACACCTGTCTGTGTTAAATCAATCCGTCTCGTCTAGACTCGGGAAGATTTAGAGCTTGACATGTTGTATAGACACTTATCTCTGTTAAATCAATCCATGTCTCGTCTAGACTCGGGAAGATCTAGAGCTTGACATGTTGTAAAGAGACATGTCTCTGTTAAATCAATCCATGTCTCTTCTAGATTCGGGAAGATTTAGAGCTTGACATGTTGTAAAGACACCTGTCTCTGTTAATTCAATCCATGTCTCGTCTAGACTCGGGAAGATCTAGAGCTTGACATGTTGTAAAGACACCTGTCTCTGTTAAATCAATCCATGTCTCGTCTTGACTCGGGAAGATCTAGTGCTTGACATGTTGTAAAGAGACAAGTCTCTGTTAAATCAATCCATGTCCTATCTAGACTCTGGAAGATTTAGAGCTTGACATGTTGTAAAGACACATGTCGTTTGTTTAAGACTTTATGTTGCCCTCAAAATGTCTGGTATTGTTTATTTTGTTGTTCGGTTGTTGTCACTTTGACTTATACCCCACATATCTTTTTATTCCTGTTAGTGAAATGTATACAATAATAAATCTATTATTACGTAGAAACAAATATTCTCTAAAACTAAAAGCATTACGATTATTTGTTTAACCCTATGTCGATTTCTGAGTTTTGTATTTCTTAGTGGAAGATTACTATCAATGCCTATTGGAAACGCAATGATTTATTTGAAAATTTCTCAACTGAACCAACAATTCCCTACCGCCACCCCTACACGTTGCAAACTAGCTGTGAAAATTACAACATTGAACATAAGTCTGGTTAAGATCACGACAAGCAGCCGAAATCGATTCTTATAACATTTTTAGCCACTATCCTGGTGTAACTGTAATGCATGTTCATTGAATGATGAATAATTATCGCTTAAAACGCGTTATAACTTACATGCTTAGTCATTTCGTCAGTACTATTACTCGGATTTTATCATTTTCGGAGTGGTATTTTGTATATTTTCTTAATAGGTCAAGGAAAACAGATGAAAAGAAAAAAAAAAAAAACATCGTATTTATTTAAATACAACACAGTATACAAGGAAGTCATACTTGATCGGGTAATATCACAACGAAAACATCTATTATAGGTAGCACAGGAAAGTACCAGTCATACCTGATCACGTAACATCACAATGAAAATATCTCCTACAGGTAGGACAGGGAAGTACCAAATTTTCAATTAATGAGGTAAGTGTATATAATTGTAGTGTCCACTAAACACGTAACTACACACTGGAATTATTGAAAAGATAACAACTTTATTAATGGTCACTAATATTTATTGCTGTGAATAGAAACAGGTTATTATATATTATTGATAGTAAGATACTCTAAAAACAACCATAATCTTTGTGTCGGAGAAAATCAGACAAAACCGTGATCAAAGGAAAAGATAAATAGAATAAAGAAAGAACACACAGAAAAATGAATCGCCAGAAACATAAATAAAATGCGATATAGAGTAACGTCAATTGAACAGCAAAGCTCTGATTCCTTACCTGGCTTTTTGTCCTTTTTGGTTTTAACATCTCTTCTATTTTTGTCGAGCCTTCGACTTTTGTCGAAAAAGCGAGACATAGCGATCCTACATTCCGTCGGCGTCGGCGTCGTCGTCGTCGTCGTCGTCGGCGGCGTCCACAAATATTCACTCTGTGGTTAAAGTTTTTGAAATTTTAATAACTTTCTTAAACTATCCTGGATTTCTACCAAACTTGGACAGAAGCTTGTTTATGATCATAAGATTATATTCAAAAGTAAATTTTGTAAAAAAAAAATTCCATTTTTTCCGTATTTTACTTATAAGTGGACTTAGTTTTTCTGCCAGTTAACATTACATTCACTCTGTGGTTAAAGTTTTTAAAATTTCAATAACTTTCTTAAACTATCCTAGATTTCTACCAAACTTGGAAAGAAGCTTGTTTATGATCATAAGATAGTATCCAGAAGTAAATTTTGTAAAAAAAAAATTCCATTTTTCCGTATTTTACTTATAAATGGACTTAGTTTTTCTGCCAGGAAACATTACATTCACTCTGTGGTTAAAGTTTTTGAAATTTTAATAACTTTCTTAAACTATCCTGGATTTATACCAAACTTGGAAAGAAGCTTGTTTATGATCATAAGATAGTATCCAGAAGTAAATTTTGTAAAAAAAAAATTCCATTTTTCCGTATTTTACTTATAAATGGACTTAGTTTTTCTGCCAGTTAACATTACATTCACTCTGTGGTTAAAGTTTTTAAAATTTTAACAACTTTCTTAAACTATCCTGGATTTGTACCACACTTGGACAGAAGCTTGTTTATGATCAAAAGCTAGTATCTAGAAGGAAATTTTGATAAAATTTTGTTCCATTTTTTCTGTATTTTACTTATAAATGGACTTAGTTTTTCTTCCAGTCAACATTACATACATTCTGCAGTTTAAGTTTTTAAAACATTTATTAGATTCATAAATTATCCTGGATTTTTACCAAACTTGGACAGAAGCTACTGACAATCAAAACATAGTATAGAGGGGAATATTTTTATTAATTTTTTTCCTCATTTTTGTTGAGACTGCGATTAACACCAAAAGTAGGCGAGACACTGGGTTCCGCGGAACCCTTACGAATTTTTTAATAAGTTTTGGAATTTCAAATATGTTGGCCTCGAGAATCACTGAAGAGACATCTGTTGTTCAAATGAATCACAAACTCGTTTTAGTAAGACAGACACACCGTCTCCATACGACCTTCCACAAGGAAAAGTACCACCCAATCACAAATTCTAAACCAATTACTCCAAGACTAAACAAATTGTGAATATTTTTTTGGAATATCACAAATATTGACAAATGCGAAGATTAAGTTTCAAACAATACTAAATCGTTTCTGTTATTCTGCGTAGAGGAAATTCTGTACATTGTCAAATCAACTTTTGGCATTGCACATTATCGTGTCTTTCCGAACTGTTTATTCAGTTGCCGTGTGAAATATTTCCACAAGAGCAGCAACCGATATTAGAGTGTAGGACGAGAATAGAAATGAAAGAATATTGGGTTCATCCATGACACAAAAGCAACTTACATGCACAGCAAAAATCACAAAACAGCAAAGGAACATCGCTTTTATTGCTGTTCCTCATCTCAAAGTCACAGTGAGGCCTTTAACACGGAGCAAAAAGTCTAACCTCACTGCAATTTTATGACAGCCCCTAGCACCGGTTTGAGCGGAATTCTTTGCAAACTGATGATCACTCCACAACTGTGAATTGAAGAACTAAGTCATGGAGTAATATCAAGAGAATAAATCTGGCAAAGAAATCAAACATCTACTGTCATAATTTAGCCCGACAATCACACTAAAGAGTCCAAAAACAATATAAATATTTAGACAACCACGGGGCACATCAAGATATATGTTAGATTACTTGGCAGGAAATAACGTACAATTCAGGTAGGCTTTGTAAGACGTAACACCACCACCTCGTGCCCGGTCTTTAAGAACATACTGGACAGTAGCACATGTCTAACACAAAATAGATCCTAAGAATAAGTGTAAATATCAAACTATGTAGAACATATATCGGTAATTAAGGTATCAAATGAAAGGTAAAGAACTAGATCCTTGTAGAACACCTTTTGACTGGTAACTTTGAATAACTAATACTAAGTATATACATATGAATGAAATCTAAAAAGGAGGGGATACTGTACACAGACAAATTTTGCTGACGTGAATTTCACATGAATCTCAGGTGAAACTCACGTGAAATTAAACTCAAACGAGCTTATACGTGAAATTCACGTGAAAATTTTCAAATGATTTTCACGTGAATTGAGATTCACATGAATCTCAGGTGAATTTTTCACGTGAATCTCACATGAAGTTACCAAACAATAACCTCAAATGATATTTTTCATATTTTAAATAAAATTGAAAATTTAGATGTTATTTGAATAACTTTATTGTGAAAATTCACGTGAATTTCACGTGAAAAAATTCATATGGTTTTCACGTGAAATTCACGTAAGTTTCACATTAGATTTATGTTAAACTCATGTGAAATCAGTTCATGTGAGTTTCACGTATAAGCTCGATTGAGGTGAAATTCACGTGAATTTCATATGAGATTCGCATGAATCTAAATTCACGTGAGTGAAATTTCCCTGTGTATATTGCCTGTTTCTCAGATATCATGTACCTGTTCTGGTATATACAAAGTTCCGGTAACCAGTTCGATCTGTTATGTAAATAACGATATATTGACCCCACCCATCCCCCTAAATGCTTGAAATGGAAAATTTTAACATGGAAAGTAATGGGGCCAAGAAGAGGTGGTGTGACAAATTCAAGTCATTAGATCATTCTGTAATTGTTTTGCTTGTTTCTATAAGTTTTATATACCTATAATTGTGTTCGCTATTGTCTTCAATACTGGTAATATCTTATCTTCTATGCATCGTTTATAATTTTACTAACTGAACAATCAAGGATGGGGTTCCTAAATGAGTTAGTTTAACGACCATAAGTTCGTGTGCCTGACAGTCACAATCGAAAAACCGCATAATATCTTATTTGGAATCTTTTACTATAGGGGATTTATTTTGATGACAATAGATCTTTTGATTTCTTCACATTTGTGCTGGACATTCTAGACTATTTAGGCCCTTTAGATGTCTTCTGATGTAATGAGATTTCTGTCGCCTTGTATTCATATTTGATTTAAGCAATGTTATCGATTTAAAGTATTATTATTTTCGTATTTTCTGATCTATCCCTAATATACTCATCATAGCTGCATTTGTTATCGTAACAACCTTGTAATTATAGTATGTTTAGACGTCCTGTTTTTTCAATGTTGATTTCTAAAATATTCTTCTTTTATTTGCAGAAATAAATAGAATTTTAATATGCTTATAATGTCGGGCACAAATGGAACTATTATTCCTCAACTTCCTTCCGAAGAATTTCCTCTCAATGTGTTTCTTCAAGCACTTTCAAAGAAGCTTTCAGAAGAAGAATTTGAAGAACTGAAATTTCTTTGCCAAGGTATGAATATCATATACGATTCGGCTGCTATAAATGATCTCCTCATTCGTTTATTTTAACAGCTGCTACATGTACCTTCGCAACAAAAAAATATTTTAGTAAAAAATTCGGCGTCAATTATTTCAAAAATGGTAAACTAATATTTTGAGTACTATTTTAGAAAAAAGTAAAATGACAAAATTACCAAACTCCAAGGAAAATTCAAAACGGAAAGTCCTTTATCAAATGGCAAAATCCAAAGCTCAAACACACCAAACGAATGGAAAACAGCTGTCATATTCCTATCTTAGTACATGCATTACATAATGTAGAAAATTTTGGATTAAACCTGGTTTTATAGCTAGCTAAACCTCTCACTTGTATGACAGTCGCATAGAATTCCATTAATATTGACAACAATGTGTGACAAAAACAGACATAATAGGTAAAAATGTCAACAATTGGGGTACAGTAGTCAACACTGTGTTATTATCGTAATCACAATAAAACAAAGAACTATGTCAACAAAGAAAAACAAAATGGCATATAGACACTCTACAGACAAAGCACATAAGCAAAAATGAAAGACAAGAATACAAAAAATGACCATAGCACAACCGATTACCAAAATGGATTGCGTTTCTCTTTCCAAAAAAATGAAATATGCGACTTCTTAATGATGGTTTATGACTCCAGAATTAATTCATTACAGAAGGGAAACATGGTGGCAATTTTTCGTATAAGCAGACGGTAATTGAAAATGACGATAGACTTTTTTTATTCTTTTGCTGCAAAATGAACACACCGATAAACCGCTTGATTATAGAAATGAATATTAGAGAAAACCATATTAGATGAATTTCTGTTTAAAATTGGATACATATCTGTTGCAACATTATGAAATGCGAATACTTGGTACTTATATTATTTGATATATATATAACAATATATGATAATAAATTGCAAATGCATTGGTTTTTTCGACAAGGTCATGTGTGAGTTATGATTGTTAGATTGATTGCTTCTTGCTACATACGTTCAGTGGTAAATCTATACTACTAAAATAACGAGGTCCAATTTGTTAGCCGGCATGATGTAAAAACGACGAATCAAAGAATTCAACTTTAAATATAACTAATATAGGACAATGGGGTTGTTTAAAAATTACACCATTCCTGGCCCTTTTGTTTTACATATAATCAATATTACCAATAATTAACAAGTTCCGGGTCGAATCTGATACCGATACCAATAGTATATGTCACATGTAGTTTCTGGTATTTGTAGTTATCTGTTACCTTCTGTAAATCCCTCCTGTATCAGGAGAACCTTGAACTCTTCCAGTAGTGGTTTTATATCTATGTTACACTATAGCACACTATTTAACAAGTCTGTTTTCTTCCACCTCAATATCACTATTAATATTGGTTAATTAGTTAAAAAATTAAATTTAGTTTACAGTAAGTTTATTGTAGTAAGAAAACCAGGACGGGTCCAATCAGAAAAATTTTGAGAGCAGAGAAAACTGTGCACCTTACAATCAGCATGAATTTATCAGCTGACAATACGAATACTAAAAATCCAGGCTAAAAATAAGGCATCGGTAATTTAATTCAGTCACGGACTCACTATGTCGCGGGTGTGTTCTAGTATTATATAAATGTTCTGGACGAGAATAGATTAACAATTTATACAATAGTCCTGCAATAGGGGATCGATAGAGATGAAGGGCGGAAAATTTGGAATGCTTCTAGAAAATGTTGGTATTGGATAGGGACAGAAATTCCTCCTTGCAACACCTATCTACGGATCTCCCAAAGAGGTGTCAAGGGTTGTGTGACACTGTCTCTATATGTATACACGATACATGGCATTTAACGTCCACATTCTGACTAGACGTGGTTGTGAATGTATAAATCCTGCACAGCCAGACGAGAGCCTAACTTTGGCAGGTCTGAAGAAGACCAAGACTTAGGGATGACAATATTTCCAAATCCCGCCTAACCTTGGGGTTGTTTCAATTTTGACCCCTGTGAGAAAAATCGCAATTAAGTGTCTTAACTGAAAAACGTCGATGCAAGACCAAACTGTAGTAACATGTTGTCAAGTTATTGGGGATTACATTGAAAGAATATTTTTGTATTATTATTCAAATAAGGAACAAGTAGGGCTTGGAATATTAAGTGTTGCGTTTCTATAGGCATTCAGTATATCAACAATTCTAAAAATCGTCCTCTTCAAAAATTTATACTTTTGTATACTAATCTTAGGTATACAATGCATGTAGCATGTCAGGTGAGTAATAAGACAGTTATAGCGAGAAGAAATAGAGAGCAGTAAGCTTTATTTAGTTTGTCCCCACGAAAGGGGGTGATTACTAAGTAGTAAGTAAGTAAATAGATATAAGAAGATGTGGTATGAGTGCCAATGAGACAACTCTCCATCCAAGTCAAAATTTATAAAAGTAAACCATTATAGGTCACAGTACGGTCTTCAACACGGAGCCTTGGCTCACACCGAACAGTAAGCTATAAAGGGCCCCAAAAATTACTAGTGTAAAACCATTCAAACGGGGAAAGTAAATAGTTTATTATAGTATCACAATCTAATATACACAATAAATAAATCTTTAAAATATATTAGTTTCCTGCCTTTAAGACATATAAGACACTTTCATCCTTTTCAAAATAAATATATATTTGTTTATGCTATAATAAAATATCAAAAATAAATAATTAAAAAATAAAAATCGTTTCCATATGATACTAAAAATTTCAAACACTTGTTAAAATTCATTTATACATTCAGAAAAGATTGAAATTTACAAATTTATCTTCCTAGGTTTAAACATAATGAGCAATGTCTTTGCTAATAAAACTTGAGTATCATCACATCAACATAATGTGCAATGTCTTTGCTAATAAACCTTGAGTATCATCACATCAACATAATGTGCAATGTCTTTGCTAATAAAACTTGAGTATCATCACATGCGGTGTATAATAAAGTCAAATTTGTCTTCAGGATTACAACCATTAAAAGAATTGATCCAACTATCAATATAGTTAAAAAGTTATATTACCATGTTACTGAAGTACGTGATAGCTACTCAACTCTCGAAAAATAAATATTTGTTCAAAATCAAAGGATATCATGATGAATATATTTTCAAATATTTGCATTAGAGGTTCAAACTTCTTGAATTTAGTGCAAACTTTTAATACTGCAAAATATAGTAATTTTGAGATCTGGTCATCAGCATTTAAATATAGGCCAATGCTCTACCTAACACAGATAAGATGCCTTAAGATTTGTTTTTACGCAAATGAAAATTTGTGTAAAATATATTTATTATCTAGAGACAGTGTGCAAAAATAAAATGGCAAGTTTAGGATAAATATATTAATTTTGTCATTTTTATGCCATCGAAGTGACATCACAAGTGGCCTTTCTGCACTAAACTGTCCAGATAACATTTATTCGTTCATTTATCAATAAAAAAGGCATAAATTTGGAAGGCTTAAACCATTTAATTTTATTTTTAATTTCCTTTGCCAAATAAAAGCTCTTATCATGATAATTATGCTTCTGACTTATTGGAATAAACAAAATGCTTACTTCAGATTCCTATGTGTTAGAAAATGTCATTTGTGGAAGAAATGTAAAGTTCAAGCAAACGTGAAAAAAAACGGATCTTTTAAGGCGAAAAGGGTTATAATAATAAATATCCCCTTTTTTCAATCGGTCACACATACATTTTCCCACATGAACACTTAGTGAATTCAGACACCAATTAAATGCAAAGAAGATTTTAAACCAGGTCGTGTGGGACAAGAGCGAAATATTATGTCAAAATCGTGTTGGTCAATCTTAAGTTTCTGTGTATTATTGTCTATGTTAACTGCTGTTTTTTCTGTTCTTTTTACTAAGATTATTTTCGAGTTGATTATCTGATTATTTGGTTTCTTCTTTTGTTTTTAAAGACATGCGCAATCCATAAGTAAAGGAAGCTCTGTAATGTTCTGTTACTTCATCATGATAACATTAGGAGCAGCGATTTACCGTTTCTAGTGTAAGATGGTGGCTAAAATGAAACTACATGTTAATAGACGGACGGATTACAGAAATTAAGCTATGTATTTATACATATGAAGAGGTTTTAACAGACATGTGATGATGGCTCTATATAAGCGGTCTTTCAAGTGATAAGAGAAATAAACGTCTATTAACCAATTTTTCAAGTGGTACTACTTAATAGTCCCAAAAGTACTTACTAAATTTCAATCTTAAAAGAATCTTTGAATAAGCACATTTTGGCCCTTCTGAAAACTAATCTCAATAGTTTACTACATGTTTTTTTTAAAATTATATATACTAAATACTTCTGAATAATTTACAAAGTCTTGTATTTACAATTATCATTCAAGTAAACTTTCTTTCAGGTAAAGGTGGTATTAGAAAAGGAGATATGTCACAGTTAAAGAACACTCTGGATCTCTTTACTATTCTTCGGGAGAGATTAATAATAACAAATGAGAATTTGCTAACACTTCAAGCTATGATATGGCACATTGGACGAAACGATTTGTACAAAGAGTTCGTTTGTTTTTGTGAACAATTAGATAATACTCTTTACTTTTTTGAGGCTCCAGAAAAATCAGGTAGATTCACTGCAATAAATTAAACATAACATAAAAATAATAGAGAACAACACACAAGCGACTGAACTTAAACATGAGGGTTAACTTTATAGATTTTGGAAAAATAAACTTAAACAACAGAAAAATGGGCCGAAAAATGAAGAATATAGAAAAAGTAGACCAAAAATGATTGGGTTTTGAAATGTAAAGAATAATAACTAATGCATGGGTAAACAATATAAAGAAAAGAGATAAAAAATTAGAGAATACAGAAAAGAATGACACCCTGTCCAGCCCTTATACATACAGTATACTATTTGTTATAGGGATTGGAACAAGGTTCAAATACGATTATCCCCCGTTTACAGAATATATCTCAATTGAAAAGTAACCCGTGATATATATGTTTCTCTAATTCTTAGCCGATTTATCCTTTTCCTGACCTGTTGATTTTTTCTATTTAATCAACGTGTGGTTTGTTTGATCTCAGTTCTCCATTGGTCAAAATTCGATTATGACTTCAAATTTTCTTGCTCTCCTCTGAAATTCCCATTGCGACGTCATGAAAAAAAGGCGACCATGCCTGATGACGTCACATAAAAAGAACACATCTTTTTGCAGATCATTCGAAAAGAAGGATTAAATTTGTCTGCATATCGTCTAAAAATCATTAGAGAAACAGATTACACCACCAAATCTCGTGCAATACGATATTTATCTTATATTAAATTTTAAATGCAGTGGTAGAATCTATATGTATACGGTTGGAAAGAGGGTGTGTTTTTGGTGAGAAATGCATATGGGAAGATTACAATAGGAAAACTGATATTATTGAAAAATTATAATGATATTTATAATATTTAAGAATTTTCATCATAACTGCACTGTTACTTGAATATATCTCACAACAATGGACACACATGGACATATCCGTGGTCATCTGTGACACAGATATTCCATAACGATCAACCAACTCGTGATGGCGTCTGTTAAACTTTCGAAGGGATGACTTCAACTTTACCTCTTAGAACCCTTGGGTCAATACCTTTCTTGTGAACAGAAACCATCTATTAAAGAAATCCTTATAGGAAATGCAAGCTTTGGAATACCGTATCAACCGGGAGATATTTACTCTCTATACAGGAGCTGCTGTTATGTTGAGAAATGCAGAGAAATGTAAAGTTCACACTTGGAACCTAAAAAGTATCCCTTTTGTCGTAAAGTTTTTACAATAATTTAATGACATTTATAAACAATTGCAATACTGTAGAATTAGTATCCTATGTAAATCCAAAATATATATCAAAGTATAATCATTTACATGTTCTTGATCAGAAATGTTTATGAAAGAGTGGTCAAACCCCTAAAAATAATATCGATACATATTGTATTTTGAATAGTTAATAAAACAGAGTTGAAAGATACCAAAGTTACATTCAAACTCAGACATCGAAAACACACTGACAATGCCATGGCAGAAAACAAAATACGACGAAAAGACAAACAACAGTACACAAATCACAACAAAAAACCAAACAAAAGACTGAGCAATACGAACCCTACCAAATACCGGGGTTAAACGCAGGTGCTCCGGAAGGGTAAGCAGATCCTGCTCCACATGTACGTGACACCAGTCGTGTTACTCCTATAAAATATGTTGACAAACTTAAGATAATACGCTAGATTCTTTATGTTCAGTCCATGAACAGCTAGATTTGAAAGAGTTGGTATAACTTTGTTTCATTAAAAAGAATGGCGAACGTAGATACAAATATCTTGTCCTGGGGAGGGATAAATCCTACTTTGTAAATAATCACTCTGATTCAAACAAAAAATTCTCTGAAACTGACATTATCAAGATACTTGATTTCTTGGTTGACAACATATTTGTTACGTTTGGAGGACGTGTTTTTCAACAGACTGTCGGAATTCCAATGGGAACCAATTGTGCCCCTCTTCTTGCCGACTTGTTTTTTTATTATTATGAGGCTGGTTCTTAGGAAGAAAGATAGGAAGTTAGCAATATCCTTTAACTTTACGTTCCGCTATATAGATGATGTTCTCTCACTGAATAATACAAAATTTGGTGACTATGTTGAACGAATCTATCCCACCGAACTAGAGATAAAGGATACTACAGATACAGTTAAGTCTGCCTCATATCTTGACTTACATCTAGAAATTGACAATGAGGGTCGGTTGAAAACAAAACTTTACGACAAAAGAGATGATTTCAGCCTCCCAATTGTGAACTTTCCATTTCTATGTAGCAACATTCCAGCAGCGCCTGCATACGGAGTATATATCTCCCAATTGATACGATATTCCCGGGCTTGTATTTCCTATCATGATTTCCTTGATAGAGGGTTGCTGCTCACAAGGAAGCTATTAAACCAAGAGTTCCAAATGGTGAAGTTGAAATAATCCCTTCGTAAATTTTACGGACGCCATCACGAGTTGGTTAACCGTTATGGAATAACCGTTTCACAGATGGTATCGGATATGTTCCTTATGTTGTAAATACAATATCCTTCCCTTTTCACGAATGTGACCTACCGAATTAGACTATTTACAGGATTTGTAATAGCATAAGCAACACGACGGGTGCCACATGTGGAGCAGGATCTGCTTACCCTTCCGGAGCACCTGAGATCACCCCCAGTTTTTGGTGGGGTTCGTGTTGCTTAGTCTTTAGTTTTCTATATTGTGTCATCTGTACTATTATTTGTCTGTTTGTCTTTTTATTTTTGGCCATGGCGTTGTCAGTTTGTTTTCGATCTATGAGTTTGACTTCCCTCTGGTATCTTTCGTCCCTCTTTTAGGCTAAAAATAAGGTTGCGATTTTAACCTTTCCGTTTAAGCCCCCTTTTTGGTTTGATGTATTTAGATATTTGCATCAAATGTATCTGTAATTCCTGTATGATTGAAGATTGAGTAGAAAACACTGAAGACGACATCATACCCGGTATTCTATGCACAAGAATGTGGGTGTTATTTTTGTGTGTTTGATAATTTGTTTTACAAGAATGACACACCACAGTATATTTGTAACTATGATCAGTTTTACAAGAATGGCAAACCACAGTACATTTGTAACTATGATTTGTTTTACAAGAATGACAAACCACAGTATATTTGTAACTATGATCAGTTTTATAAGAATGGCAAACCACAGTACATTTGTAACTATGATTTGTTTTACAAGAATGACAAACCACAGTACATTTGTAACTATGATTTGTTTTACAAGAATGACAAACCACAGTATATTTGTAACTATGATCAGTTTTACAAGAATGGCAAACCACAGTACATTTGTAACTATGATTTGTTTTACAAGAATGACAAACCACAGTACATTTGTAACTATGATTTGTTTTACAAGAATGACAAACCACAGTATATTTGTAACTATGATTTGTTTTACAAGAATGGCAAACCACAGTACATTTGTAACTATGATTTGTTTTACAAGAATGTCAAACCACAGTATATTTGTAACTATGATTTGTTTTACAAGAATGACAAACCACAGTACATTTGTAACTATGATTTGTTTTACAAGACTGGCAAACCACAGTATATTTGTAACTATGATCAGTTTTACAAGACTGGCAAACCACAGTATATTTGTAACTATGATTTGTTTTACAAGAATGGCAAACCACAGTACATTTGTAACTATGATTTGTTTTACAAGACTGGCAAACCACAGTATATTTGTAACTATGATTTGTTTTACAAGACTGGCAAACCACAGTATATTTGTAACTATGATTTGTTTTACAAGAATGGCAAACCACAGTACATTTGTAACTATGATTTGTTTTACAAGAATGTCAAACCACAGTATATTTGTAACTATGATTTGTTTTACAAGAATGACAAACCACAGTACATTTGTAACTATGATTTGTTTTACAAGACTGGCAAACCACAGTATATTTGTAACTATGATTTGTTTTACAAGACTGGCAAACCACAGTATATTTGTAACTATGATTTGTTTTACAAGAATGACAAACCACAGTATATTTGTAACTATGATCAGTTTTATAAGAATGGCAAACCACAGTACATTTGTAACTATGATTTGTTTTACAAGAATGACAAACCACAGTACATTTGTAACTATGATTTGTTTTACAAGAATGACAAACCACAGTATATTTGTAACTATGATCAGTTTTACAAGAATGGCAAACCACAGTACATTTGTAACTATGATTTGTTTTACAAGAATGTCAAACCACAGTATATTTGTAACTATGATTTGTTTTACAAGAATGACAAACCACAGTACATTTGTAACTATGATTTGTTTTACAAGACTGGCAAACCACAGTATATTTGTAACTATGATTTGTTTTACAAGAATGGCAAACCACAGTACATTTGTAACTATGATTTGTTTTACAAGACTGGCAAACCACAGTATATTTGTAACTATGATTTGTTTTACAAGACTGGCAAACCACAGTATATTTGTAACTATGATTTGTTTTACAAGAATGGCAAACCACAGTACATTTGTAACTATGATTTGTTTTACAAGAATGTCAAACCACAGTATATTTGTAACTATGATTTGTTTTACAAGAATGACAAACCACAGTACATTTGTAACTATGATTTGTTTTACAAGACTGGCAAACCACAGTATATTTGTAACTATGATTTGTTTTACAAGACTGGCAAACCACAGTATATTTGTAACTATGATTTGTTTTACAAGAATGACAAACCACAGTATATTTGTAACTATGATTTGTTTTACAAGAATGGCAAACCACAGTATATTTGTAACTATGATTTGTTTTACAAGAAGGACAAACCACAGTATATTTGTAACTATGATTTGTTTTACAAGAATGACAAACCACAGTATATTTGTAACTATGATTTGTTTTACAAGAAGGACAAACCACAGTATATTTGTAACTATGATTTGTTTTACAAGAATGACAAACCACAGTATATTTGTAACTATGATTCGTTTCAGAGGACGAACAAGAACATGTGAGATTCCATGTAATGGGTTATACATGCATGACTGATTTATATAAACTGAGAGGAGCAGTGTCGAAAATTCTATGTTGCCCAGAAAAATATGTAATCATAAGAGGAATAGAACAATGTAACAGTTTGTGGATTACATTGATGATACCGGACTGGTGTACGAACATTTTGATGTGTCTTTCAATCAAATCATGGAAAGTTTTAGAGACACTGACAGTCGACAGATTATTCATTCAAAGTGTTAGGAAAGAAATAGTTTGCCCATTCAACATACCAGGTAGTACATGTATATCATACAATATAAAAACCACTTACGACCTGCCTGATAAAAGGGGCTAAGGTTTTACATGTTTACAAAATAGCTGTATACTGATGACTTTCTTTTATAAAAAAAAATTATAAAAGAGGCAGAAGATACAAGTAGAGAAAAGACCAACACCAATACATTACACAGAAAGATAGAGATTAAAAATCATGAACTCTACCAAATTCAGAGGGTAAAGTCAGGTGTTCCTTATGCGTTAGCAGTTTATGCTCCGCATTTGTAACCAATCGATATAAAAATTAGAAGATGTGATATGATTGCCAATGAGACAACTCTCCAAAAGATCAAATGACGTAGAAGTTAACAACTATAGGTCATCGTACGGCCTTTGCAAGTAAACTACTGTGAGAAGTTTTATTCGGTAATGTTACAATCGAGTAAAAAGGAACAATCAAAAGTCATAAGTCGACGAAGAAAGACAATACCATTGCAAGAAAACGAAAAGATAATCAACAATCTATAAAGCACTACATAGAAAACTAAGACTGAGCAATACGAACCTCATAAAAATTCGTAAATACCGATTCATGAATGACAATGTAAAATTTGATTTACAAATTTGAATAAACCATGTTAGAATAAGCACCTCATCAAACGTTTTTAAGCAACGCTTGTTGAATCGTTAAAATTAAGATGCACATTTAGAAAAATCAAGGACTTTTTCATTATTATTTGTAACTATTCATTTCAAATGTGAAAGTTATATTCTTTTTTTACATGCGTTTTTCAATAGTAAAGGACCTGATAGATATGATGAGTTTGGTCTTACCTCCCTAGCGAAAAGTAAAATCACAAAAATACTGAACTCCGAGGAAAATTCAATCGGAAAGTCCCTAATCACATGGCAAAATAAAATGACAAAACACATCAAACGAATGGAACAACTGTCATATTCCTGACTTGGTACAGGCATTTTCAAATGTAGAAAATGGTGGATTGAACCTGGTTTTATAGCGCTAAACCTCTCACTTGTACGACAGTCTTATCAAATTTCGTTATATTTACAACGATGCGTGAACAAAACAGACATTATAAATAAAATAGTCAAAATATGGGTACAGCAGTCATCACTGTGTTACAATATCAAAACAAACAATTATTTACAAAAAAAGCACAAAAGCATCTATCAAATTAAGACCCACATTCATTGCTTCGCGTGTCTGACGTCAGAAAATGTAAACGTCACATAAGAAAAAAGTTTGTCATTCAATGTCTATTCAAAACAATTTTATAATTTCACATGGGGAATGTTGGTATACAGGGTTAAAAAATCAAAAGTTATGTTAGAATTAATTTCAGAAATAGACCGAGATTTATAATTGTCCAGAAGTTCTTCAGAACCCTTAAGAATCCACTTATGGTAAATACCACTACGCGAGTAAAATAAATTTGTCGTTTGTCGTTCAAAGTATTTTCAAATTTATAATAGAACAATAACATAATGACATATAATAGAACAATAACATAATGACGGGATCTTTTAAAGTACAGAGTCACGTTATAAGAACCACAGAAACACAAAAAGTCGCATATACAAAACACACCAGTAAAAATTAAAGATAATACAAACACATTGACGGGATGTATAAGTACCTAGCCACGTCAAATGGATATCACAGAAAACAAACCAAACAGTAAAAGTAATATTAATAATAGAACAAAGACAAATGAAAGAACAATATTACACGTTGTTAAGATGATAAACAACGTCAGTATGCAGAATCTATACTTCAAGACCATCATGTATTGTTTGTGAAGTTGATACGGAATATTTATCAACAAGGTCTTGGTACCTTCCGATGAACTTTTTTAGAAAAAGGACGAGACGTTCTTTGACATACCCCTGATTCATCAACTTTCTGCTCAGACACTGGTGACGTTTTACAAAGTCTGAGTAAGAGCTGCAAGCTCTTGAATATCGAATAAGTTGGGAAATGTATATCCCATATGCAGGTGAAGTTGGTATATTGCTACTAAGGTGGGGGAAATTTATAATTTTAAAATTAAAATCGTCTCGTTTGTCATATATTCTGGTACTGAGATGACTGTGTATGTCAAATTCGAGATATAAGTCTAAAAATGAGGCGGAGGAAGCCGTGTCTGTTGTTTCTTTAATTTCTAGTTCTGGGGGATATATTAATGGAACCCAATCAGAAAAGTTCGGATTGTTAATGGAAAGAACATCATCAATATATCTAAAAGTGAAATTAAATAATCTGGCTTCTTTGATCTTCTTGTTTTTGACAAGTGTCTGAAGGAACTCCGATTCATATGAAAATAAGAAGAGGTCGGCAAGGAGAGGCGCACAGTTCGTTCCCATAGGAATGCCGACAATTTGTTGAAAAAGTCTACCTCCAAATTCAACAAATATGTTGTCGATAAGAAACTCCAGCATACTGATCACTTGTTCTTCTGTGTAGCATGTTTTACCCTTTTGTTCACTATTTACAAAATATGCCTTATGATATCCCAAAGTAATAAATTTATAGCGTATGCTACCATTTTTATGATGAAAGGCATTGTGGATTATTTCTTTCAAGCGATTTTTCAATTTCACATGGGGAATGGTGGTATACAGGGTTGAAAAATCAAAAGTTTTGATAGAACTAATCTCAGAAAAAGACCGAGATTTAAAATTATCTAGAAGTTCTTTAGAATTTTTAAGAATCCACATATGGTTAATACCACTACGCGAGTAAACAGTTTCACAGTATTTCTGAAGACCCTCTTTCACTGCGGACAGAATTTTAGTCAATCTAATGGACAATTCTTTAGTGGAACATGCAGATGAGCCGGCAATGTACCGTTGTTTGTAAGGAATTTACTGAAAATGCCTGCACCTTGAATAAGTTATTTTTGAACCAATATTTTTAAAATCCAGAACCAAGTCAGCAATATGACCAATTGCAAGTTTATATACTTGTTGGTTATAAAATACATGAGAACAATTTTGAACATGATAGTCCAAATAATATTATTTTTCTTGAAAGGCTTTGTTAATGATTTACTGTGACACTTCACATTACCGTCATTCTATGGAAGGAATCCCAGACATGTTTTTAGGGTATTAGACCTATAAATACAAGAAAAGTCGTCTGATCTGTAATATAACGAGTGTGTCTTATTTCCGATCTTTATATTTTTTACTGAGTGTAGATTTTATTTTGAAATTCTTACGATTCCTTCAGTTTTTGTTTGTTTTCTTGATTTATATCTTCATGATCGACTTATGCGATTTTTAAATCGGTAAACTACTGTTGCCTTAATTTAAGATTATAAAACAACACCTAATTTCAATGTTCTATGTATCTTCAACCGTAAGTGCTATTTCATTGTTATACAAATCATTCTATAAGTGTCATTGCATATGGTTCAGTTTTTCTGCTTGTTGTGTTGATAGTATTTGTTCCATTAATTGTATCGTCTGAATATTGTTAAAGAAAATGTAGCAGAAACTGAACATGAAAAAGATACTGACATGACTCTTGATGTAGACATTGATCTTAATAGTGCAACCATCAGTGTGTCTGATCTGAATACCCAAAATATAAACAAAAGAGAAGGAGGTATTTATTCACATGGTAAGCTGAAATGATATATGCTTTATTTAAGAAATGTTTTCTTATGAAGTGTATATTCTCAGTTCTTATTATAATGAAGACAGATTTAAGAAATGCAAAAGAATGGCACAATCAGATATATAGAACCAAACTGCTAAGGTGTTAACCATTTTAATGGATTTACATTCTCAGAGGTCTCATAGTAGAAACTTTCGAAAGTTACATACTACATCTCCTTATTCAATTAATTCATTAATTTGTCCGTTTTCTACTTAGTGGTATAGTTGTCCAATCATCTCGTGTGCATATGTTCCTTTACAACTCCTACTAAAAACAAGATTTGTGCTTCAGACACGATTTGCAGGATCGGTAACTTTTAAGTCCAAGATTCTAACATATAATGAGAATGAATAAAGAAGACATCGATACTATGTCTGAATCACCTCCACCTGTGAGGTGTTTTGTACAAATGAGGATTCATGTCTTGACGATTGTATGAAATAAATGCAACCTCTGCCCTAAAAAACACAAACGTTTCATAGCGCCTGTTTATCTTAGTCGTAATCCCGATCTCTTGTCCTCGAAAGTGACATCACCAAATGAGACTTTAACATCAGTACTACAACGGATGGTATATGTGGTGTAGAATCTACTTTTACTTTGGGGCACCTGCTATCATCCGTAGTTTCGGAGCTCGGTATTTTGGAAATACTTTTTTAAAACTAATTAATAGTGATAGTATACCAAACAGTGTTAAAAAATAAGCGATCGTTTAGCACCTGAATGTCTAATGTAATTTTGAAATTATTATGTCTCTGGTCCGAGTACACAGTTATTTCGTAGTGCATTTCTTTTAGACAATAAATGAAAATAAAAAAAATCCCACCTGCGCTTTCTCAATAATATTTTTACAGTGTGTTGTACTACTTTTGGGACAAATCATATCAAAATTATAGAAAACTTCATCGGCTCTAACTCAAAATATGGACAATTCTATGTTAAGGGGGTCTTGAAATCTTTTGACAGCTTCCGAAGTGCTAATTTTTAACCTTTTTCAGCTGGACCAAATCACTACTTTACTTTACAATTCATGACCCAAATTTTTTTACAGTGTAATTTCATCCCCCTACTTGCTATTTGAGGCATAAAACATGAAGGAATACATTTGGAAGGGGTACTAAAAAAATTGGCAAGCAACACACTGTCCACACTAGGGACTTTATTCGTGGACAACGAAAATCAAAGGACGATAACTGTGTACTCGGACCTAATAGGATAGAAAAATTTGACCAATCTTAATAAAACTTGGTATGACTAAAGCTTAATAAATTATGAGACTGCTGACAAAGTTTCATGGCAATAGGATATATATTATAGACAATATGATAAATTCTATATTCAACTTCACGTGTTAAATTTTGACGTTTAAATTGAAAAATTTCAACTATCAACATTTGGGGCTTTAAAAATCAAAATATTGCAAAAAATTACATTTTAAAGGCCTTAATATATGACATATTATGTATTTAAAGCAATAGAATACTCATTTGATTTATCAGACTTATCACAATTATTTAAAAGTCAAATTTATATGAGCCTGTGCCAAAAAATGGAGGTTTTCCAATGAAGGGGGGCCTTACATGAAGATGTATTATTTTCCAGCAATTTTTAATTTGTGGAGTTTTTTGGTTATAAATAATCCTTACATATGTATTAAATGTACTTTAAATGGAAAGAAAAATTACAAATAGCATACCATATTAGTATAAAAGGGTCTTAAGCCAAGTAAGACTGAAAATAATTTAGGGTCAATTTAGGCCGTAGCACATATTTACATTTAAAAATGCATACTGAAGCTATAGGAAATAAAAATTTGTGTCTTTTTTATAATTTCTATACTCAGGTTACATGATACAATAAATCTGAGCATAAAAGGACTCTTGCATTCAACTTTTTTTGCAGACAGTATGGTCTGATACAAAGATTTTTCACTTTTTAGTGAAAAACTTGCATGCAATTTTAGCCTCAGCAGGCTTATATTTGAACCACTTGCTATTTAACATAAGAAAAGAAAGATACTATGTGAAATGAAACAGGTACAAAAGACATTGTGAAGTGCTTTTAATACAAATTTAGTGAAATCTTTATTATGGACTTCAACTTTTATGTACCTAGGTCCTCACATTTAACTTGATCCAAACAGGCCGTTACACGAGGGTCATTTATACAACACATTTTGCACATATTGTCTGAGATAATCTTATTTTCTGTAGATTCAGAGTTCACAAATGAGTAATACAACTGGGTTAAAGCATAGAAACACAAATATTGACACAGGAAAACCTGTCACATAGAAAGTCAGAATGCCACTTATGCATCAAAATTGAAAAAGCTTTGAAATGCTTATTTTGACCATATAATGCTAAAATGGGTAATTTTTGCAGAATTTCTATCAAATAAAAGTCTAAATCCTTTAGTTTCATGCTATCTGACAAATTGACACCATTAAATCATTCAGGGAAGTTGCCAAAGTACAGATTCTATATTTACTGATTTCGCCTCTTAGGTCCGAGTACACAGTTATTTCGTAGTGCATTTCTTTTAGACAATAAATGAAAATAAAAAAAATCCCACCTGCGCTTTCTCAATAATATTTTTACAGTGTGTTGTACTACTTTTGGGACAAATCATATCAAAATTATAGAAAACTTCATCGGCTCTAACTCAAAATATGGACAATTCTATGTTAAGGGGGTCTTGAAATCTTTTGACAGCTTCCGAAGTGCTAATTTTTAACCTTTTTCAGCTGGACCAAATCACTACTTTACTTTACAATTCATGACCCAAATTTTTTTACAGTGTAATTTCATCCCCCTACTTGCTATTTGAGGCATAAAACATGAAGGAATACATTTGGAAGGGGTACTAAAAAAATTGGCAAGCAACACACTGTCCACACTAGGGACTTTATTCGTGGACAACGAAAATCAAAGGACGATAACTGTGTACTCGGACCTAATAGGATAGAAAAATTTGACCAATCTTAATAAAACTTGGTATGACTAAAGCTTAATAAATTATGAGACTGCTGACAAAGTTTCATGGCAATAGGATATATATTATAGACAATATGATAAATTCTATATTCAACTTCACGTGTTAAATTTTGACGTTTAAATTGAAAAATTTCAACTATCAACATTTGGGGCTTTAAAAATCAAAATATTGCAAAAAATTACATTTTAAAGGCCTTAATATATGACATATTATGTATTTAAAGCAATAGAATACTCATTTGATTTATCAGACTTATCACAATTATTTAAAAGTCAAATTTATATGAGCCTGTGCCAAAAAATGGAGGTTTTCCAATGAAGGGGGGCCTTACATGAAGATGTATTATTTTCCAGCAATTTTTAATTTGTGGAGTTTTTTGGTTATAAATAATCCTTACATATGTATTAAATGTACTTTAAATGGAAAGAAAAATTACAAATAGCATACCATATTAGTATAAAAGGGTCTTAAGCCAAGTAAGACTGAAAATAATTTAGGGTCAATTTAGGCCGTAGCACATATTTACATTTAAAAATGCATACTGAAGCTATAGGAAATAAAAATTTGTGTCTTTTTTATAATTTCTATACTCAGGTTACATGATACAATAAATCTGAGCATAAAAGGACTCTTGCATTCAACTTTTTTTGCAGACAGTATGGTCTGATACAAAGATTTTTCACTTTTTAGTGAAAAACTTGCATGCAATTTTAGCCTCAGCAGGCTTATATTTGAACCACTTGCTATTTAACATAAGAAAAGAAAGATACTATGTGAAATGAAACAGGTACAAAAGACATTGTGAAGTGCTTTTAATACAAATTTAGTGAAATCTTTATTATGGACTTCAACTTTTATGTACCTAGGTCCTCACATTTAACTTGATCCAAACAGGCCGTTACACGAGGGTCATTTATACAACACATTTTGCACATATTGTCTGAGATAATCTTATTTTCTGTAGATTCAGAGTTCACAAATGAGTAATACAACTGGGTTAAAGCATAGAAACACAAATATTGACACAGGAAAACCTGTCACATAGAAAGTCAGAATGCCACTTATGCATCAAAATTGAAAAAGCTTTGAAATGCTTATTTTGACCATATAATGCTAAAATGGGTAATTTTTGCAGAATTTCTATCAAATAAAAGTCTAAATCCTTTAGTTTCATGCTATCTGACAAATTGACACCATTAAATCATTCAGGGAAGTTGCCAAAGTACAGATTCTATATTTACTGATTTCGCCTCTTAGGTCCGAGTACACAGTTATTTCGTAGTGCATTTCTTTTAGACAATAAATGAAAATAAAAAAAATCCCACCTGCGCTTTCTCAATAATATTTTTACAGTGTGTTGTACTACTTTTGGGACAAATCATATCAAAATTATAGAAAACTTCATCGGCTCTAACTCAAAATATGGACAATTCTATGTTAAGGGGGTCTTGAAATCTTTTGACAGCTTCCGAAGTGCTAATTTTTAACCTTTTTCAGCTGGACCAAATCACTACTTTACTTTACAATTCATGACCCAAATTTTTTTACAGTGTAATTTCATCCCCCTACTTGCTATTTGAGGCATAAAACATGAAGGAATACATTTGGAAGGGGTACTAAAAAAATTGGCAAGCAACACACTGTCCACACTAGGGACTTTATTCGTGGACAACGAAAATCAAAGGACGATAACTGTGTACTCGGACCTAATAGGATAGAAAAATTTGACCAATCTTAATAAAACTTGGTATGACTAAAGCTTAATAAATTATGAGACTGCTGACAAAGTTTCATGGCAATAGGATATATATTATAGACAATATGATAAATTCTATATTCAACTTCACGTGTTAAATTTTGACGTTTAAATTGAAAAATTTCAACTATCAACATTTGGGGCTTTAAAAATCAAAATATTGCAAAAAATTACATTTTAAAGGCCTTAATATATGACATATTATGTATTTAAAGCAATAGAATACTCATTTGATTTATCAGACTTATCACAATTATTTAAAAGTCAAATTTATATGAGCCTGTGCCAAAAAATGGAGGTTTTCCAATGAAGGGGGGCCTTACATGAAGATGTATTATTTTCCAGCAATTTTTAATTTGTGGAGTTTTTTGGTTATAAATAATCCTTACATATGTATTAAATGTACTTTAAATGGAAAGAAAAATTACAAATAGCATACCATATTAGTATAAAAGGGTCTTAAGCCAAGTAAGACTGAAAATAATTTAGGGTCAATTTAGGCCGTAGCACATATTTACATTTAAAAATGCATACTGAAGCTATAGGAAATAAAAATTTGTGTCTTTTTTATAATTTCTATACTCAGGTTACATGATACAATAAATCTGAGCATAAAAGGACTCTTGCATTCAACTTTTTTTGCAGACAGTATGGTCTGATACAAAGATTTTTCACTTTTTAGTGAAAAACTTGCATGCAATTTTAGCCTCAGCAGGCTTATATTTGAACCACTTGCTATTTAACATAAGAAAAGAAAGATACTATGTGAAATGAAACAGGTACAAAAGACATTGTGAAGTGCTTTTAATACAAATTTAGTGAAATCTTTATTATGGACTTCAACTTTTATGTACCTAGGTCCTCACATTTAACTTGATCCAAACAGGCCGTTACACGAGGGTCATTTATACAACACATTTTGCACATATTGTCTGAGATAATCTTATTTTCTGTAGATTCAGAGTTCACAAATGAGTAATACAACTGGGTTAAAGCATAGAAACACAAATATTGACACAGGAAAACCTGTCACATAGAAAGTCAGAATGCCACTTATGCATCAAAATTGAAAAAGCTTTGAAATGCTTATTTTGACCATATAATGCTAAAATGGGTAATTTTTGCAGAATTTCTATCAAATAAAAGTCTAAATCCTTTAGTTTCATGCTATCTGACAAATTGACACCATTAAATCATTCAGGGAAGTTGCCAAAGTACAGATTCTATATTTACTGATTTCGCCTCTTAGGTCCGAGTACACAGTTATTTCGTAGTGCATTTCTTTTAGACAATAAATGAAAATAAAAAAAATCCCACCTGCGCTTTCTCAATAATATTTTTACAGTGTGTTGTACTACTTTTGGGACAAATCATATCAAAATTATAGAAAACTTCATCGGCTCTAACTCAAAATATGGACAATTCTATGTTAAGGGGGTCTTGAAATCTTTTGACAGCTTCCGAAGTGCTAATTTTTAACCTTTTTCAGCTGGACCAAATCACTACTTTACTTTACAATTCATGACCCAAATTTTTTTACAGTGTAATTTCATCCCCCTACTTGCTATTTGAGGCATAAAACATGAAGGAATACATTTGGAAGGGGTACTAAAAAAATTGGCAAGCAACACACTGTCCACACTAGGGACTTTATTCGTGGACAACGAAAATCAAAGGACGATAACTGTGTACTCGGACCTAATAGGATAGAAAAATTTGACCAATCTTAATAAAACTTGGTATGACTAAAGCTTAATAAATTATGAGACTGCTGACAAAGTTTCATGGCAATAGGATATATATTATAGACAATATGATAAATTCTATATTCAACTTCACGTGTTAAATTTTGACGTTTAAATTGAAAAATTTCAACTATCAACATTTGGGGCTTTAAAAATCAAAATATTGCAAAAAATTACATTTTAAAGGCCTTAATATATGACATATTATGTATTTAAAGCAATAGAATACTCATTTGATTTATCAGACTTATCACAATTATTTAAAAGTCAAATTTATATGAGCCTGTGCCAAAAAATGGAGGTTTTCCAATGAAGGGGGGCCTTACATGAAGATGTATTATTTTCCAGCAATTTTTAATTTGTGGAGTTTTTTGGTTATAAATAATCCTTACATATGTATTAAATGTACTTTAAATGGAAAGAAAAATTACAAATAGCATACCATATTAGTATAAAAGGGTCTTAAGCCAAGTAAGACTGAAAATAATTTAGGGTCAATTTAGGCCGTAGCACATATTTACATTTAAAAATGCATACTGAAGCTATAGGAAATAAAAATTTGTGTCTTTTTTATAATTTCTATACTCAGGTTACATGATACAATAAATCTGAGCATAAAAGGACTCTTGCATTCAACTTTTTTTGCAGACAGTATGGTCTGATACAAAGATTTTTCACTTTTTAGTGAAAAACTTGCATGCAATTTTAGCCTCAGCAGGCTTATATTTGAACCACTTGCTATTTAACATAAGAAAAGAAAGATACTATGTGAAATGAAACAGGTACAAAAGACATTGTGAAGTGCTTTTAATACAAATTTAGTGAAATCTTTATTATGGACTTCAACTTTTATGTACCTAGGTCCTCACATTTAACTTGATCCAAACAGGCCGTTACACGAGGGTCATTTATACAACACATTTTGCACATATTGTCTGAGATAATCTTATTTTCTGTAGATTCAGAGTTCACAAATGAGTAATACAACTGGGTTAAAGCATAGAAACACAAATATTGACACAGGAAAACCTGTCACATAGAAAGTCAGAATGCCACTTATGCATCAAAATTGAAAAAGCTTTGAAATGCTTATTTTGACCATATAATGCTAAAATGGGTAATTTTTGCAGAATTTCTATCAAATAAAAGTCTAAATCCTTTAGTTTCATGCTATCTGACAAATTGACACCATTAAATCATTCAGGGAAGTTGCCAAAGTACAGATTCTATATTTACTGATTTCGCCTCTTAGGTCCGAGTACACAGTTATTTCGTAGTGCATTTCTTTTAGACAATAAATGAAAATAAAAAAAATCCCACCTGCGCTTTCTCAATAATATTTTTACAGTGTGTTGTACTACTTTTGGGACAAATCATATCAAAATTATAGAAAACTTCATCGGCTCTAACTCAAAATATGGACAATTCTATGTTAAGGGGGTCTTGAAATCTTTTGACAGCTTCCGAAGTGCTAATTTTTAACCTTTTTCAGCTGGACCAAATCACTACTTTACTTTACAATTCATGACCCAAATTTTTTTACAGTGTAATTTCATCCCCCTACTTGCTATTTGAGGCATAAAACATGAAGGAATACATTTGGAAGGGGTACTAAAAAAATTGGCAAGCAACACACTGTCCACACTAGGGACTTTATTCGTGGACAACGAAAATCAAAGGACGATAACTGTGTACTCGGACCTCTCTGTTATTCTTGTAATACTAAACGTCTTTTCATATAGAAGATGAACCTCAAGAAAAATTGTTTGAAGAAATAAGGAAGTTTTGGTCAAATCGAGAAGATCAAAAAGCCATAGCAACAGGTAAGATCACCTGATTAGCATAAATATATGTTTACAATTGATTTCAAGAGTTTCTGATGAGTTGGTCGTTTCATACTTCAGTCCTCTTATAGTTGATGTGTTTCCCTCGAATTTAGTTTGTAACCCAGATTTGTTTTCGCTCAGTCGATTTAATATTATTGAACAGCGGTATACTACTGTTGCCTTTATTCACATAATTAACGTCAATGTTTTTCGACTGTACTGATTTTTTACTAGACCATCTTAAATTGGTGTGAACTTACTCGATATTACTCAACTCAAATCTGAACCAAACTAAATAGTCTTAACTTGCACTTGACCTGTACTTGAACAGTTTTTAAAGAGTCTGACTCAGACTCGACCAAAGTTTGAACCATTCTCGACCAATTCTGAACAATACTAGACCAAGTCTAAACCACACTCGATCAGGTCGAACCAGAACTGGACACTTTGTCTGAATGGATCAAAGCTATTCGATCATGCATTCAGAAGGGCATTCAAAAACTACGATGCAATATGAGCACAAGAGTTACTAACCCTTTCAAAATCAGGATGTTGTTCCAGCAGATAAAGCCTCCAATAATATTGTCTTCATATGTAAAAACCATTATTTGCAATGTCTCACAACAGAGCTTGGAATAAATAGAACTACTGGTAACACAACATATTCTTTAACATCATTTACCAAGGACGAAATTTTACAAAATCACAAATCTGTCCTTCTTTCTTTTGGTATCAATATCAAAGAAAACGAAGAAAATTTACCATCATTATACTGGATACCAAAACTACACAAAACTCCATATAAAGAACGATACATAGCTGGGTCATCAAAATGTTCGACTAAACATCTTTCTAAAGTATTGACTACTATTCTTTCTACAGTTAAAGATGGGCTTCAAAAATATTGTGATGAGATATATTCTACCAGTGGTCTTAACCAGATGTGGATTCTCAAAAATTCGAAAGATCTACTGCTTAATCTTCGATCACAATCTTTGCAATTTTGCAGCAACATAAAGACTTTTGATTTTTCTACGCTTTACACTACTATTCCCCATGCTCAGTTGAAAGATCGACTTCACCATCTCATTAAACAGAGCATTTTCTATAAAAATGGGAATCGTAGATACAAGTTTCTTGTTTTGGGTTACAATAATTCATATTTTTTGTAAAACAACACTGAATCTACCAGAAAATATACTGAAGATGATATTATCAAAATGCTGGACTTTTTGATCGACAATATATGTGTTGAGTTTGGAGGATATATATTTTAACAGACAGTCGGTATTCCAATGGGAACTAATTGTGCACCCCTTCTGGCCGATTTGTTTTTGTACTCGTATGAAGCAGAATTCATTCAGAACCTTCTAAAAGACAAAAAGAAAAAGCACCTTGCGAAATTCTTTAATTTTACTTTCCGATATATTGATGATGTTCAATCATTGAATAACCCGTATTTCAGCCAATACTTACATCTCATATATCCCAGTGAACTTGAAATTAAGGATACTACTGATACTAGAAGGACTGCTTCATACCTTGATATTTTCCTCAATATTGACACAGATGGACGACTTCACACGAAAATCTATGATAAACGGGACGATTTCAACTTCCCAATTATCAATTTCCCATTTCTCAGCAGTAACATTACCTCTGCCCCTTCGTATGGTGTTTACATATCTCAATTGATACGTTATTCTCGTGCTTGTTCACACTATACGGACTTCATATACAGGAGTGTGCTCCTTAAGCAGAAACTGCTCCAACAAAGTTATAAGGAGGACAGATTAAAAATGACACTCCGTAAATTTTACGGACACCATCACGAATTGGTTGATCCATACGATGTGTCTTTGTCCAAACTAACTAAGGACATTTTTACGACGTGTTAGTTTGTGGTTTGTCATTACGTCGTCTGATCTTTTAATTACCGAACGTGACTTATTCCCGATTGTGACTGTTTTGCTGAGTGTGAAACCGCATTGCTATAAGACGTGTCACGGTACTTTTCGATCCCAAATTCATGTATTTAATTTTGATGTTAAATTTGTTATTCTCGTCGGATTTTGTCAAATGTCTTAACGTCTTTTCTGTTATATTCGTGTGTTATGGTAAAGATAATTAATCACCCCCTTCATTTATTAGATTTTAGTTTGGTTCAACGAAATTTATACGATATATTTGGTTTACAGTTTGATTTAGAAGAAACACCGACATAGCTAGATGATACAATTAATTATCTAATTACTACCACAATTTGATTGATAATAAGTATTGTAATTATCATTGTTATTAATAAATGTAATGTCAGTATTACAAATCTAATCTTGAATCAATCCTAATCCTATCTTATTTTTTGGAAATATTTTTACAAATTCAAATGTGACGTCACTTTGTGTGTTTTTTTAGAATTTCAAATGTGACGTCACTTTGTGCCTTGAGGCTTTGGCTGACTCGGCTGTGTATTTTTATGTGTTGGATTAAGTTGTTTTATGTAATGCATCCGTTTTTATTCTGTAGTTAGTCCCCACTTCGGTTTTATCATGTATATCTATTATATTGTCATTTTATAAAATTTACTGTTTGCAAAATTATAAATTATTCTAAATAATAAGGATGTTCTTGTCCCAGGCAGAAAACCCTGGCCGTGTTAGGCGCAACTTTTTGGAAGTTTTGGTCCTCGGTGCTCTTCAGCTTTGTACTTGTTTTGGCTTTCAAACTTTTTTCCTCTGAGCGTCACTGGTTGGTCTTGTGTGGACGAGACGCACGTCTGGCGTATTGAATTTTAAGCCTAGTACCTTTTGTAAGCTATTATTCGTGTGTTTCTTTGTCCTATATGTTCTCCCATTTATTTGTATTGTGGTCCTGTCATGTGATGTTGTCGTTTTGGTGTTGTGTTTGACGTTGCCATAAAAGCGGGAGGTTTGGCATGCCACAAAACCAGGTTCAACCCACAATTTTGTCTTAAAATGTCCTGTACCAAGTCAGGAAAATGGCCATTGTTATATTACAGTTCGTTTCTGTGTGTGTTACATTTTAATGTTGTGTTTTTGTTGTGTCGTTGTTATCCTCTTATATTTGATGCGTTTCCCTCAGGTTTAGTTTGTAACCCGGATTTTTTTTTTTTATCTCTATCGATTTATGAGTTTCGAACAGCGGTATACTACTGTTGCCTTTATTTATTTATCGATCAGGTCTAAATATTCCTCTTTTTTGTCTTTAATTGAGTCTGTTTCTAACAAGATGTGTTTCCTTTGGCTAGAAATATGACCATGAGGTACTATATAAAGTGATTTGTCAGATAAGAAAAATCAATGTAAAAATAAGAGATTTAATGTTGTAAATATTATAGTAATACATTTGAGTTTGAGAAAGTAGAGGGTAATTGGTCAAGTCAGTTTGGTTCAGACTGTGGTAGAGAATGGTTCAGACCTCCATCGAGTATGATTCGGACTATGGTCGAGTATGATTTAATTCTTAAAGGTCTTTGGTTGAGTACAAGTTCGGACTGTTTCCTATTGTTCAGACTACAGTCGAGAAATATTTAGTAAAATTCAGACCAATTAAGAATGGTCAAGTAAAAATCAGAACAGTAAAGTACAAAAAGTGCCTTGTTCAGACTACCTGGTTTGTAATGTATGTTCTCATACCTTTCTTACATTGTAATTAGTTCATCTCATGGCTACAACAGATAAGCTGAAGTTTGAACAACGGAACCAAACTTTCCGTGGCCGAAAAGCTAGCCTGGACACAAGTGTGACAACTAGTGAATCAAAAACATCTGTACAGAACAGCATGCATGAAGCATTAGAAGTACAACGCTCAGGTGAATATTGGAAACCAGAAAATACCTAGATAACTATTATTTTATGTTTTATATTTACTGTACTTTATTTGGCATTTTAACAGTTGATTCTAGAGTCACTGATGAGTCTTTTGTAGACGAAACACGCGTCTGGCGTACAGAACATAAGCCTGGTATCTTTGATTTTTTTACACAGCATAAAATTTAGTTCTAATTAAATTTCTGAGACCTTATTTCTTAACTTATTGAACATAAACTCCCGTGTGGCAATAATATACAATTTACAATATATCAGCATTTGTAAAATGGTTTAAATGTCTTTTTTTTTAGTTAAGTAAATATAACACTCGGTATGAATACATGAAAAATATACAGAGCTAGGTCCCGATAAAAAATACACCATTTAACTTGCATTTAACTTGAACTATTCTTTAAAAGGGAAAAAAAGTACACAGGTCATGAAGTATATGAATACAGGAGTATTACCACCATTGATTTTCCCCTATTAGTCTTTGTTAAATTGGCACGTTTCAACAAATTGTTCAGAATTTATCTTTGTTTATAATAAAGAAATACTTGGCATGAGTCAAGTTTTATCCTGTCCAGTACTCCAGACAAAATTTCACATAGCATTTTATTGCGTATAAGATAACAACCATCACTGGAAGTTAACCAATCAAATTGTCACCTCTTTTTTTCCTGTGTACAAGCTTTAGTAACCATGTTACCTCAAGTTTCGAAAATGTTTTATAGAAACACCAAATAAAAAAAAAGAGTGGTACTTTGAAGCACTCAAATTATATGTTTAGGAATCATAATTTTTGTTCTGCAATGAAATGCAGGGTTCACTTCCTACAACTGTCAAGTTTGTGAATATTTTGTTCGACCCTTTTTTGTATGAAACCGGATGTGACGCAGTATGATTTGGTGATATTACACCTACAATGAATTGGGATATATATCAATTAGACGGATACCGAAAAGACACAAAAAAAAAAAAAACATAAATATTTAGAGTTCAATCATACGTATTCAACAAAAAGTATTTGTCTATACAGTTTTTAATGCACAATATTTATTAGCTAGATAAGAGTTTTTACGTTTCTTTTACTTCCGATCTGCAGTGCGTTATTGCAGAAATTGCTAATCTTTCCAGAGCACTTAAGATCATTCCCAGTTTTATAGTGAGGTTTATGTTGCTCAATATGCAGTTTCATGTGTATAGATTGTGATGGACTGTTGTTTGTCTCTTCTGTTTTGATTGTTTGTAGTTTTTTTATTTTCTTCTGCCATGGTTATGTTTGTCTGTTTTGTGATATTTTGTATTATCCTCTTGGAATGATCTCCCCTTTTTATCGTTTTGAACGCACAATGTTCTCTATATCGGTACTTGATAAAAGGGCATGTATATAGATTATTTCTTTCATTATGTATAATACTATTTTTATGGTTACAAAATGCCAATATTTCCTACAGTGCAAACTGGAACAGAGAGCTATTTTGCGATAGCGCCTATTGAAGATAAAGATAATAAAAATGATATCAACAACAGGACTGATATGAACAGTAAAAAGAAAGCTAAAAGAGAAGGAGTTAATTATTCACCTGGTAAGTTAAAAATGTGAACTTATTACTATATCTCAAATAATATTTGACAATGCTGATATATAAGAATATGTTTATTAACTTTTTAACGGAGAACTGAGAAAATTTCTATTTGAATATTATAAGAAAATATCACAGTACCATTTTTCCGCATTGATACATAAAACATAAATTGTTATCATTTTTTTACTATATTCTACCATTACTGTGCACACATGTACATATAGAACGATCTGAGAAATGTAAACGCCACAACACATCTCCTTATCTTTGTATTCGTTCTGTTTTTTAAAAACCCTAGTATGAAATTACCATCACAAAAAGATATCACGGTCTTAAAAGGGACAACGATCACTTTTAACTTTGAATTTACTTAGAGTAAGTTCAGCCAGATCAATTGTTTTGACATCTCAGAACAACAAAAAACTAAATTAGAGATAACATGTGGTCTTAATACATGTATCCGCAACTTTGAATATAGATATATGTCAAGTTGTGTTTCGTTGGGTCAAAATGCAGGTTAGCCATTATACGGTATTAGGGAATCTAGGGTCCTCCTTAACTGTGATATCGGTATTGTTGCACATATTGACTATATATATTTAATGTCTTAATTTATACACTTTTGAATGACGTAAACTATATCTCTGTTATTAAATGGTCGCAGCAGTACATTTCATTATTTAATATAGGCTGTTTCTTAATTTTCACGCATATTTTGTCATTTAGGTCCTCCGTAACTGCATTGTGGCACATATTTTGTTCCTTTATCAATAACATTTTGAATAGTGTACAAGGTATCTCTGTTATTAGTGAATGAAGGGTGGCAGCAGTACATTGCCGTATTCAAAATTAAATAGGCTATTTCTTAATTTTTACGCATATTTTGGCATTTAGGCCCTCCTTAACTGTCATATCGGTATTGTGGCACATATTGACTATATATATTTTATTTCTTAATTTATACACTTTTGAATGGCGTAAAATACATCACTGTTATTAAATGGTCGCAGCAGTCCATTTCATTATTTAATATAGGCTGTTACTTAATTTTCACGCATATGTTGGTATTTAGGTCCTCCGTAACTGCATTGTGGCACATATTTTGTTCCTTTATTAATAAGCTTTTGAATAGTGTACAAGGTATCTCTGTTATTAGTGAATGAAGGGTGGCAGCAGTACATTGCCGTATTCAAAATTAAATAGGCTATTTCTTAATTTTTACGTATATTTTGGCATTTAGGTCCTCCTTAACTGTACATGTCATATCGGTATTGTGGCATATATTGACTATATATGTTTTTTTGTTAATTTATACACTTTTGAATGGCGTAAAAATATATCACTGTTATTAAATGGTCGCAGCAGTCCATTTCATTATTTAATATAGGCTGTTTCTTAATTTTCACGCATATTTTGGCATTTAGGTCCTCCGTAACTGCATTGTGGCACATATTCACTATATGCTTTTTGTTTCTCTATCAATAAGCATTCGAATGGCTTCAAAAATATCTCTGTAATCAGCGGATTGTTTTAATTATCAGGTCCTCCATAAAATAAGAAAAAGATAAAAAACGAAAATTCCATTAATAGTAGTTAAGGAAAACCAATAGTTTATCCTCCGAATAGATAAATAAAGATAAGAAAAATATAAGAGAGTGTTTGAAAATATTTTTATAAATAAATATCAAAATATGTAAATATACATAAAAAATTGCAAATTCGGATTACGGGATGGTGTAAAATAGTCGAATAATAAATGATCTAGTTCTTCATTCACTTTTCACATTGAATACTGAATATAAACTATTTCATTATTCATTATTGAACTTTAAAAATGAATAATAGACGTGCTTCATTGCGATCAAAACCTGGCCCTAAGACGTAGCTTGTTTAAGACGTCAAAAAATATTTACACTCCAATACCCGTATTAACATTAGCTATGTCAAAATGTTTGATTGCTTGATTGCTGTTCCCTGTACGTCACGTCTGGCAAGTGAGCAAAACGTTTGATAAAAAGTTCCATAATTATTTTGAAGTCTGTTTGAATCACTCTATATGTCTTTTAGTTATTTTTCACAAGTTGCTGTCTCATTGAGATATACCGTACGTCGCATTTTATTTACAAGCATCATTGCAGTAATTGTTTTGAAAATGAACTTCATTCTTAAACGGCTTTGTTTGCAGAACTCCTTATGGTTATTTTCATTTGAACAGATATATCCGAAATTTAATTAAAAATAATAATCGATCGTTATTGCTTGCCTTGTAACAAATGAATCCACACATATAGGTTAATTACAGATTACTTAACATTTTCCAACATAATTGATAATAATTCGATTGCAATTCTTAGATTCTTAGACTATCTATAAACATTATAAATATAATGAATTTTGCTCTTTTACACTGAAAATAAGATGTACATTATGTATGTTTTGCCTTTGCAGGATATTCAACAAGTCCACGACGGGCAGATTCAGGTATGGTAAAGCAACATATTATTATGCTTCTGCTTTTAATAAAAACAAATAATGAAATATTGGAGTGTCACCGACTGTCATATCTTCGCACCTGAACGAACTGGATGTTTATGAAATCAATGATTTTAACCATTTTAAAGAGAGGCCTCTGTTTCAAAGCGATATTAGTGTTCATTTTCAAATTATTTGAAATCAGAACTTACGGAAATAATACACCAAGACGTAAATATGTTATTGTCTATTACTTCTTCTTTGTAACATGTGTAACTGACATCGATGTCAGCAGTATATTCCTGGCTACCTACAAATAAAATATATAGAAGTAGTTTATATTTTATATAAAAGACATGAGACATGATTTCTGTTCGCAAAATCTTGAATGTATCGAATATATAGCCTTCATTAAGTACATACAGATTTGGGAAAGGGGATATATTTAACGTTTGATAGCATGACAAAAAATGGCCTGCATGTACATGTAAACAAAACACTAAGGTTAACTTTGACTTAGGAAACCGAAACATTATGCTGTCTAAAACATATGTCACGAAATTTTCGCATTGTATGAAAACAAGTAACGTTTTCAATGTTTGTGCCACTATTGATACACGATAAACACCAGAATGGTTTGTCAAAACTAATATTGCTGACTGCTTATATAAAACCAAAGTACTTTAACTGTTGTACACCAAGAAGAGCGTAAATTGAAATAAATAAATTCAGCATCAAAATGTTTTTTTTTCAATAATGGGTCATAGGTCAGTCGAACAAAACACTTTGTTTCTGTAAATCACGATTATTTTTGCCATTCATTTGAAGACAAAGAAAGAGGCTACGAGGTTGTATCATCCTAGAATTGTAACATTTGTAGTAATCAACAGTTCATGTATTCTCTGAAAAACCTGCATGATGAACTTGCTGCCGTTCTATGTAGTTAACTTCCAACATCGTATTCGCCTGCTAAATGAACCGGGAGTGCACACTATTCGTCCGATCGACTGTTCTATGTTATACGTAATATGTTTTCATAAACCTGCTTAACTAATTAGTTTGGATTTAAAAAAAAATACTTTCATAAAATTACCAGTATTTTAAACACTCTTTGTTTTTCTTTATCTAGACTTTGTCTTACTTACAAAAATGATAAGCATGTTGATGATAAGCAATAATTGATAAGCATTTTACTATTTGAAATCTTCTATGATCCCTGCCTTGATTTACATTTGATTTTGCCTTCAAATGTTTGGATTCGAAGGCCACTAAAGCCACTTAAGCCACTAAAGCCACTTAAGCCACTAAAGCCACCTTAAGTCATTAAAACCACTAATGAGTCTTATGTAGACGCGTGTCTTGCAAACGAAATTATAAGCCTGGTACCTTTGATAAGTGATTTATACCATAGTAAAATATTATCGACAAAAAAGAGGGTACGTGTATATTGATCTATTTTGATTAGCTTGGTTGATGATGTAAACTTTGTAAGAGAAGCAACCCTGTTGTCGCAAATATTACTTAATCCTGATCTTCAAGAGTTTAAATTTGAAATCAAACGCAAAAATAGACATAAAAATATTGTTTCGATTTTCAGATGTAAATTAGAAGACACAGTTATTTAGTTACAGAGATTAATCCATTTGTCGAGTGAAGAATGACAAATTGGAGTTAATATGACACAAATCGGGTGAAGAAAAAAAAAATCAAATAACACTATTAGCTTTAAGATTACGACTCGAGTTATTTTAATATCTATTGATTACCCTTTCTATTTGCAGGATTTCAAGATCTTGATGAAGATGAATCAAAAGAGATCTGATAATTTTTCGAAAATATCAACAGATTATAATTCAAATCAATATTAACCAATTAAGTAAATTATTGCTCAAATGACTAGTCTTAACAACAATCGAAATCGTGTCAACTACAGCCAACAGGACATTATTAAGGTCCATTATGGATACAACCAGTCATTATGAAATTAATTGTTTTTCAACCATTCATCTGATGGAGAGTTGTCTCATTGGCAATCATACCACATCTTCTTATTTGTGTTTTCATGTTAAATTCAGCAGTAGTTTAACTAGAAACGTAATTTACAAGGACATGCGATTATTTGAATTGGCTTGTCGGTGACATGGACAGCAAGTGATAGCTTACAATTTGTTTATTCTCACGTCACAAAAAAAAAAAACAATCTAAAATATTTGCAATTTGATGTCATTAATCTGTATAAATAACATGTAAAATTAAAAAACCAATTGTTCAGAGAACAATTGAAGGTCGTTTTACATCAATTTTCTAAGTAATTAATTACGAAGCTACTTGTTTAGTGAAAGTTACTATTGGCATCCAATGATAGGTTTCTGCATACTGATTAAAAAAATATATGGTTTCTGTATACTTTTGTCTGAAATAAGGAAGAGAATTTGCTTCTTCCGGTTTAGAAAATATCACCTCCGGTCTTATATGATAGCTTTATTCACTTAGATTTTAAAAAATATATGGTTTTTATATACTTTTGCCTGAAATAGGGAGATACTTGCAACTTTCGGCTTAGAAAATGTCACTTCCGATCTCATATGATAGCTTTATATACACCGATTCTAAAAACATATGGATTCTATAAACGTTTGCCTATAAAAAGGGAGATAATAAGCTACTTCCGGCTTATTGAATCTCACATCCGGTCTCAAATGATAGGTTTATATAATCCTATTTAAAAAATATGTGGTTTCTAGGTACTTTTCCATGAAAAAAGTGCAAACATTACTACTTCTTGTTTACTTAAGGTCACTTCCGGTTGACATTTCAAGGGTCATATATCACCTAACATTTTGCAAAAGACCATATATGTTTTTAATGAACCAAATTAAAGTAATAATCAATTAACCTTAAATCAAAACATTTCAGGGTCAATAACCCCTATAACATGTCGTTAGATTGTTTCAGACCAAATGTATCATATCTTCACCTTCATCACAATAAAGCAAACTAGTTCTTTTATATATATCTTCAACAGTGTCAGAGAAAATGCAAAAACAAGCAAAAGTCAAATTTGAGAACATAACCTTGACCTTTGACTTTGAAGGACCCAAGGACCTAAAATAAAAAGACTCTAGGTTTATACGCTTACGGTTTATGAGTTACAAAAATATAACGACAAATTTATTTGGTAAAGGTAGATAACTCCTGTAAGATTTCATGGTATCTGTTCGATCCAAATCAGCCAGAAAAAAGGTAGAGAACAATTAAGAATAAAAAATTGTCGTTATCATTTTTTGGTTACGGATGATTTACGCTAACAAGAAAAACAGTGTTTTGGGAGATAACTCCTACAATAAAAAGTCTTCGGCTAAAAAAGGTGAGTTTCAAAAGCGAAATGACTGTTCGATATAACATCCAAAACATCTAAGCGACATTTTGCGAAACAACTTTATACCGCAAGAAAAAGGGTTTAGCGGAAGAATAAAAAAAAATAATAATCATAACAAGATCAAAATGTCTTTCCAAAGACTGGGGTAAGACCTAATAAGACTGTTTAATTTTCAAATACCGAAACTACTGTCTTCAATGGGTATGTTCCAATTGTTGTTACCAAAATACGTCCTCATTTCCTCGAATGTGACATCAATGATTGACACTCATCACCGGATTTGTTTTTACATTAGCATCACGACGGGTGAAACAAGAGGAGCAGGACCAGCTCAACCTTTAAGAGCACACGAGATCGCCACTAGTTTTTGGTGGAATTCGTGTCGATCAGTCTTTGGTATTTATATGTTGTATTTTGATTGTTATTAAATTTTCGTATTTTCTACTGTTTGTTGCCATGTCGTTGTCAGTTTGCCTTCGATTTATCAACCTCTCTTCTTGCGTTATAATCAAATGAGCTCCGAATGGCTTAAAACGACCTATTACATTTGCCGTGACTTGTCTGTTCTTATCAAAGACTCTTCAGTAATCTCCTTTTCCATCTTGCAAACTGTTTTGATCTAGATTCTGTCTGCTCATACATTGATGTTAACACACTCGGGTTCCATCCATGAAAATTCACTGTCGAATTTATTATATATAAAATGTATCATTGACTTGTTGCGAAATAACATAACACCACATGCGCGAGAGAAAAAAAAAGTTGCGGAAGAAAACAAAATAACAATAGTAATCATCAGAACGAAATCAACAAGTTTTTTAAAACTTAAATATGGAAAGACCTAGTACAAATTAATCAATTGATACATAAGACAACTACACTGAAGACAGAACTACTGATAAGTACAAGTACCAACACACATTTAGTCATTATGATATCACCTGACAACGAATAATTAGATTTTGAGAACAGTTGTTCCCTGTTCATCAACCCGTTCGACAACCTTACGATAAGATGCAAGGTAAAAAGTGGACATCATATTAGCAATATGAAAAACAAATGTCGTTAATGCTGGAATGTGAAAAAATAACATTAAAATACTGACACGTTCTAAATTGAAATGAAAGTAATAAAACAAGATAGCTCTATGTAGGCAAGTTATTACTACACATCGTTTTGTTTGAGCTTTATACTAAAGTGACAATGGGTGTTATGTTTGGCCTTATAGTGCATATTGTTCTTATTATCTTATTATTTGTTTATTTATGGAAAGTTTACTTTTCACATTTTGTATGAATGATATATGTCTAACCAATATAACAAAATACGCATAATCAAATATTTTATTTCATACCATCGAGTTATCACATTATTTGTTCTCTTGATACCTTTTGTACTAAAAGAACGAATTTACCGACTTTTAAGGAATATGGTAACTCAAATTGGAAGAGACCTAAGTTTAGAATGTACAGTTAGTTCTCGCATGTGTTTTATTTTTTCTCTTACAGGCATGAAATATCTAAAAAAAACAACGCTTAGATTACCCAATTCTCCCAAAAGTAGAATATTTGGGAAGTCATTAACGGATTAATATAGTTCTAACTTTTAAACTTATTTTTATAGTTTTTTTTTATAGTGGGTTTTGACACACCTGTTCCACGTAAGGGAATTTTGAGCGCTCACAATTATAGGAAGCTCCGCCGCATTTGTCGTCCCTATTTAAGAGCCAGTAATTCAATCTTTGTCTTTGGTTGTTGTCTGCTATACTTGATTTTTGTCGCCGTGAATTGCGATTCTTCAATCTTAGTACTCGTAACTCTTGGCTAAGACTCTTTGCGGATGATAGCATAATTTAAAGAGAAAATAAAACACAAGATGATTGCTATAAATTGCAACTTAATTAAGACTCAGCGGCACGATGGGAGTCAGATTGGTTCAAGACATCTCACCCCGATATAAGTACCAATCATGAATATATACAAAACAAATAACAAGCATAATTACACCATTCACAACCTCATTCTCGAATCAGTAGCATCTGCAAAATATCACCCTACAATCCAATATCAAGTGATGATCGATCTGCTACGCGAACAACGACTAAGATTACACGAGAAGTTTTACAAACATACCATTGAAGCCATTCCAACGCATGTTGTAGAGCAAACCTACAATAGAACAAGACAAAATATCCACAGACTTACAGACATCATATCCAAACTTCCAAGGACAAATTCAAATAATCTGAGTTCCCTCCCAAACAATCACAGTGGAACTTGCTCCCTCAGACCATCTTTGAAACCACTTCTGTTGAAAGCTTCAGAGATCAGTTAACTACAGTTGCCCTCGCCAGTTCAAATAAACACACTCAAACCAAAACATTTACATAAAAGTTGATTCTAATAACAATCTGTATATACAAACACTTCAATTGTTATCAAATTCTTGTTTGTATAAACTTTTCATGTCAAAACATATGCGCAACATATGTATTTTTCAGTATTGAAGCCGTGTTGACCACAAAAAAAAAAACAAAAAAAAACAAAAACAACGAAGATAAATCAAGACATCATTTTTCACTTATGAAGTGCTCCAAATTTTGTTATGCTGGAACCTTTTTTTATCTTACTACACGAGATTGGTTTTGCTCATTGTTGAAGGCCGTGCAGTGCCCAATAGTTTACATCTCGTCCTGTGGTCACTGATGGAAAGTTGTCTCACTGTTGTGACATCTTCATATTTTTTTTATATATACAATTTTAACATAAAAAATATACTTCAGCGGTGTATATAAAAAGATTTAGATGTCAGATTTATAATCTTTAACGGAAAAAAATAAGAAATTAATTAATTCGTAAGATAATATAAATCACATCAGATTCACGCATGAAGTATTGAATAACATTTATTAATTAACTACTCTGTTATTGGACTTGATATGATGAAAACTGCCTATGCAATATAAAAGTGTCAACTCGGCCAATACAGAATAACTCGGCCAATATTGTTTTTTTTTTTTGTATTGGCCGAGTTCTGATCCGGCCAATACAGGATTTCGGAACGTCTCTAGTTTTTAAATCGAAAGTCATGATAAACACAAACTTAAAGTAAACAGTCGTTAGGAAGACACAATTTGCATTTACTCACCATAAACATGCCGAAAGGTTCAGTGTGGCATCTATTTCAGGCTGAAGACGGTCACATTCATTTAGAAAGCATATTGTAAGCAGACAATTGAATTATTTCAGGTTTGGGCAACGAGTAGTTTATCACAAATTTCATTTCTTGTCGACCTCAGGTACAACCTATAATTTTACTGTTTACTTTCGCTTCTCATGTTTTGTAAACTGTCATTTATTTTTCAACCCGAACCAGGCATATGCATTGTGGAAGGGTGACAAATCTTGGGTCAGTTGCCTTATGGAAAGTTGTATCATTTTCAATCATACCGGTATTCAACTCCTACATTTTTTTTTAAATAATTTTTTTCTGCATTACACATGCAATGGCAGCACCTTTCCAATTACTATTTATGTGTTGCGTCTAAATATGACTGTAACACTTTATAGTGACTGGTAAGGGTAGAAAAATTCATCAGATGACAAAATGTGGAAGACGCCTGGAAACAGCACCAGATCATTTGATATTGCAGCTTATAAACATGATAAATGGGAACTCAGATTTGGATAGTTCCACTTCAAGGTAAAAAATGTTTATCTCTTGTGGTATATAAAACAATGTTAACACTGTAGTTAATTAATAAAGGTATCATTACGTGTATTTCTGTATTGGCCTTGTTATTGGTCCTTGGCCAGCTGTATTGGCCTTCGGCTTCGCCTCAGGCCAATACAGCAAGCCTCGGACCAATAACAAGGCCAATACAGAAATACTCACGTAATAATACCATAATAATACTTGTCTTGAAGCCAACGAGACAAACTGAAGCTAAGTGATATTTTGAATCAAATTCTAAAGTGACAATTTCACTCCTTTATTTGGATAGAAAAATCTGTCACAATTATTACGTCTTCAAATGTTTTATTTGAAAAAGAGACTATAAGCACAGGTAATACAAACACACTACATGTTATATGGCTATGTTACAAAAAAAATTCAAAGAAATAGGTTACAAAAAAAAAGTTTTTGTATAGTTGGGTTGCTATCTTATTAACGTATACCCCATAACTTAAATGCATGGAATATCTCCATGGTATAATTTATCAATCATTGTCAATTGTTTTTCATAAACACCAACGATAGTTGCTTGGATTATGAAAATATGTTGTATACTGGTTCTAAAATCAAAATTAAGAGAAAAAAGTATGACGTCTTAGCCTTTTTCAACAACCAACCATCTTTCATTACCGCGTGCTAACTTACTATTATCTTTTCAATAGATATCAATGAATTCACATGAGACAACTACCCAACAGAGTTCAAATGAAGTGGATGTAAGCAATTATAGGCATTACCGTATGGCCTGCAACAATAAAAAATTCATACCATATAGTCGGCTATAAAAGGCCCCTTTTTAATTGATATCTATGAATTAAAACTAAATAATTCCCTGTTATTTCAATGAATGCATGTTTTATGCAGCATCATGTAAAAGCAACTACGTATATTCAGCAATAAAAACAAGATGTTTTTATAGTATGCTAATGTAAATCATATGTTCTCATGAGTTACGAAAAACTTATACATATAAGAAATGAAACAACAAAAATATAACATATTTTGTCAATAAGTTTTATATAAACTTAAAATTATATAAAAAACATTTATTAATATTTTGAATGTATATTTTGATATGTATTTCTAAATAAATTTGATTTTTATGAACAGACAATATAAAGTGTATTTTGATAAATCTATGCTATCACAAAATTGATGGTTCAATGCTGATGCAGAATTTCAAAATGTTGAATATAATTTACACCATCTACGCATTTTGAGTTTTGCTAGCCTAAAGATATCAAATATAAAAAGTCTAGAAGTAACAAAAAACGAAAGGAAAAAAACTTAAAATTATATAAAAAACAACACAACCGAAAACACACAGGAATTATGAAAATTTTACATTTTTAAGTTCATTGAAATTTTCTCAAGTATCATTCCACTATTAAATCATGCCAGTTCAAATCTCTAGTCTGTACTGAAGTAAACGAAAGTTAGAAATTGTTATAAAATTGTACAACAACCTCTATCTATGTCACGTTCAGCTTTGAAAGATTGTTCGTTATTTAAATTATGTCGAGGTTCGTGTCTACTAGACGACCTTGAAGGAACACGATCCGTCGACCTATCTTCATAATTTAACCTACGTCCATATGACGGATACGGGCTATTGGTTTCCGTCGTCCGTGTATTGGTGGAATTGGTGTAATTATGTATGTTGTCGACATTCGACGAGTCATCTCTATAGCTACCGGAATAGTTGCTCCGATTTTGAATTGTTGGACTCGATATCCTATTTGTTTTAATGTGAGTAGGATTTGGGACTATGGGTAGACTCGGTGGCTGATATGTAGTGGTGCGACCATAACCTGACTGAAATTGACCCATATAACCCTGGGCAATAGTAGAACTTGTTATCGGATTTGTTTTTCTTTGTTCACTTCGGTTTGAGTTGACACTTGACATGCTAGATCTGTTACTAAAAGACGTGTTTTCATGGTAAAGTTTCGTAGTTTGATTACTGACAGGATAAGACGGACTTGTATTTTTTTGGGAAGACAAGACGTTACTTGTATTCAAATTATAGCTTGTTGGAGTCGATCGTTGAACGCTTGAATTTGGTCTTTTTGGTCTCCACGATCTCCATAAACTGCCGCCAGGTGTTCCACCACGGACACGAATAGACGTTCCACCGTTTTCCGTTGTAAATTTATCTTCGTTTAAGTAGTACGATTGATTCACATTAATAGTTTCTAGGAAGCCAATCTCCTGAGCCTTTCGGAACACCCACAGTCGTCGATTGTCTGATGTATACCATTTCCCGTACTTATTCACCACAGAAATAGTAGGTATGCTTCTCACATTGCAATAGCCTTGTAATAATTGGTCTAATGTTTCACCTATATATAAATGTCCATGGTTTGTATAACCACCAAATCTGTTCATAATGGAATCTTGCGAGTAAAATATTTCTGATGGTCTCAGCTCCATATTGTGATTTTAATCTACAGTATTTCAACTCAGACTGTACTTTTTAGATCTATTCAACAAGTTGTATTTTCAAAGATTCTGTAAAAGAAAATTGGATATTTTAAAGGTGATCATGAATCCAGTGTTTGCAGTTGAAAAGTAATAATATTAGATTTGTTTGAAGAAAAGTTATCTTTAGTTTTTTCAGAAAATAAATTATTTCAATTTTTTTTAAAATGTCCTCCGATGCAATATTTCATAAAAACATATGAAAATGAATTATTCTTTCAACAGGAATTTGAAGTGCCGAAAAACATCTTGAATATATTGAAATATGAAAAAACAAAATTGCTTGCAATAAGAGCGCCACCAGATTTCAAAAACTTTTCGATTATTCTTCTGTGGGTAAAACAAACAAACAAAACTATTAATAATATTGGCCCTAAAAATCTGAAAAATTATAATTGTGATATTGTAGTGGAAATTTCAAAAAAGTTAATGTAAAATTGTCCAATTATTTAAGCTAAAGAAGATGTCCACCAATTGGTTAATTAATGATGTGTTTGTGACATAGTAAATGTAGTATAGGTGAATTTCGTTTAAACATGAGTTTTGCATAATTTTTGAAAATTCATGATTCCGTGGGCACCACTACCAAGAAATACCGTGGGTATAACTACCAAGGAATACCGTGGGTAAAACCACCCAGAGATATCGTGGGTACAACCACCAAGGCAAAACCACCAAGGAATGCCTTTGGTACAACAACCAAGGAATGCCGTGGGTACAACCACCATGGAATACCATGGTTACAACTACTAAGGAAAACTGTGGGTATAACTACCAAGGAATGCCATGGGTACAACTACCAAGGAATGTCGTAGGTACAACCACCAAAGAAAACCAAGGGTACAAATACTAAGGAATACCATGGGGGTACAATAACCAAGGAATACCGTGGGTACAACCAGTCAGAAATACCGTAGGTACAACAACGAAGGAATACCATAGGTACAACAGCTAAGGAATACCGAGGGTACAACTACCAAGGATACCGTGGGTACAACCACAAACGAATGCCGTTGGTACAACCACCAACGAATGCCGTGGGTACAACTACCAAGGAATACCTAGGGTACAACCAGAAGGAATAACGTGGATTTAACCACGAAGGAATACCGTGGGTTGGATACACCCAACCAGAAAAACCGTGGGTACAACCACCAAGAAATACCGTTGGTACAACTACCAAGGAATACCGTGAGTACAACCACAAAAGAATACCGTGAGTACAACCAATATGGAATACCATGGGTTTGAGACAACCACCAAGGAATTACGTGGGGACAACCACAAAAGAATGCCGTGAGTACAACCACGAAGGAATACCGTAGGTTTAGTACAACTACCAAGGAATACCGTGGGTACAACCACCAAGGAATACCATGGGATAAACAACCAAGGAATGCCATGGTTACAACCACCAATGATACCGTATGTACAACCACAAAGGAAAACCATAGTACAACCACGAAGGAATACCGTTGGTACAACCACGAAGAAATACCGCGAATATGGTACAACCACCAAGGAGTTCCCTGGGTTCAACCAACAAAGAATGTCGTGAGTACAACCACCAAGGAATACCGTGGGTAAAACTACCAAGCAATACCTTGGGTATAACTACCAAGGTATGCCGTTGGTATAACTTCCAAGGATAAGTTGGTACAATCTCGAAGGAATGTCGTTGGTATAACCACCAAGGAATACCATTGGTACAACTTCGAAGGAATACCGTGGGTTGGGTACAACCACCAAGAAAAACCAAGGTGCAACCACCAAGGAATACCGTGGGTACAACTACTAAGAGATACCATGGATATAACCACCAAAGAATGCCCTGGGTACAACCACGAATAAATATCGTGGGTACAACCACGAAGGAATACCGTGGGAACAACTACCAAGGAATACTGTGGGTACAACTACTAAGGAATAACTTGGGTACAACTTCAGAGGAATACTGTGGGTACAATTACCAAGAAATACCGTTTGTACAACTACCAAGGAATACCTTGGTTACAACCACAAAGGAATACCGTGAGTACAACCAGGAAGGAATACCGTAGGTTTGGTACAACCACCAAGGAATTACGTGGGTACAACCACCAAAGAATGCCGTGAGTACAACCAAGAAGGAATACCGTGGGTACAACCAAGAAGGAATACCGTGGGTTTCGTACAACCACCAAGGAATTACGTGGGTACACAAAAGAATGCCGTGAGTACAACCACGAAGGAATACCGTAGGTTTAGTACAACCACCAAGGAATACCGTGGGTTAAACCACCAAGGAATGCTGCGGTTACAACCACCAAGGATACCTTATGTACAACCGCAAAGGAATACCGTGATACAACCACGAAGGAATATCGTGTGTTGTGTATAACTACCAAGGAATACCGCGGGTACAACTACCAAGGAATACCGTGGGTACAACTACCAAGTAATACCGTGGGAACATCCACCAAGTAATACCGTGGGAACATCCACCAAGGAATACCGTGGGTACAACCACCAAGGAATACCGTGGTAACATCTAATTGATAACTTATTGTTTCACTGCATATAACTACCATTAGTACCATAACCAATGCCTACCGGCAGCACCGATAAAAATATATAAAAACAGGTTTCGCCACTGACACCGTCAGGGAATACAATTATTAATATCTTAATAAAGAACTCAGTGATATCACCTCAGATAACAAAAGTGAATGTCATCAATGACATCTTTAACAATTCTATTATAATATGGTTAACATTTTTAAACACAATATACTGCAAGGTTGTGTTATGATTCGTTAACAATATTTTAGCATTGGATATTCATCAAAGCTAACAAACGGCGCAAAACATTTCGAGTTTTTTTTATCGTAAAGAAATACAATTAGTTCTCATCCATATTATGTTTGAATAGTCATAATCTGAGTTCTATAGAACTATACTGCAAAAAAAGAAACGCATAATGGATTTTTAAGAATTTTAATACATGTATTTTGAATGGAAATTTTACAATTACTAATAAAGGTATTCACTCAAAACGTATTTGACTGAGGAGAAGATAGTCAATTCCTTCGAGATTGATGAATAAAAGTCAATTTATCACAATTAGAGTTGCTACCGGTGTCATTAAAGCTAGTACCGTGTATGACCACCTCTCGCTGCTAAGACTGCTACGCATCTCCTCTGCATGGATGCTATCAATGTTCTTATACTGTTGCTTGGAATTGCTCGCCATTCCTGTTGCAACATTTGGCGGAGCTGATCAAGGGTCTGAGGCGGGGGTTGACGCTGGCGCACAACGTTTATCCAGTTGGTCCCATAGATGCTATAGAGAATTTACATTTTCAGTTCTTGCTACTTCACTTTGGGACACTCCGGCCTGGAGACGGCCGATGACGATATTTCCAATAGCAGGGCCCAACATTGGCATCGGCAGGATTTTAAAGTTGTGATGAATTAAATCTTCACACTTGGTCCTTGTATGCGCAAAAGTGTAACAGCTGAGTTGACCACAAAATTCTCCCGAAAAACGTTAGCAATATTTCGCGTCGAAAAAGTTCATGTCATATGCACTTTTAGCGAGTCGCAAATTTCATGTGGCAGATAACCAAATCAAAAGAACGGGCATTTAAAGTTTAAAACTTACCTTTAAAAATTCGAGGATGCAATTGACCGTTTCATTTTACCTTGTAAAATATGTATTTTGCATTTTGAAAAATTCATCCGAATAATTTACACACCTTACGACACTTTATGAGTTTTAATTGTTAGGTAGCCCAAATTAAGCTACTGATATTGTGAAGCCGTGTAGATAAGAGATTCATTAGTGCAAATTAATTAAGGGGAAATACGTTGAAATATTAATGATAATTTACTAACAATCTTTAACACTGAGAGAAACAGTCAAGAAAAAGGGGTCCATCTCCATGAGTCGGGCAACGATATATACTAAATTTTAGTACAAAAAAAATAAACATATTAAATAAATTGGTAGAACCTCACATTTTCGCCCTTCCCTATACTATGTCGTTATTATGTTCAGCCTATTTATTTTTCTATTTATGAAATAAAAATAATATTCACGAAATGTTTCACGTGTTTCGGTTGTAGTATCTACATGTACAGACGTGTGTAAAAAAAAAACTACACAATAGGTTCAGTTGTAAAATGTTAAAAGATTTTTGACCCATTTAATAAGTGTAGGATATAATCAAATACTTGAACTTAGACATGCTAATCTATGTTAACCCAAATCTTTTATTTACATTTCTAAACAAACACAAATCATTTATGAAAGTGAAAGTAAAAGTAAAATTAAAAGGACAAAGTTTTCTTCGGATAATCATACAGTATCCAATACATTTTACACACATCATCGTAACTTTCATTCGTAAAATGATAAGAATATATCTATTTTTCTTAAATTCTTTCCATATTCTAAATTTTACATCATTTTCACATTAATAGAAAAACAAAGGATACACAATTTTCATTTATCTTGTTTAAAGTCAATACACAATGCTACGTTTATTGATTAGCGCTTACTTTTTGTTTGTGTGTCTGTGTTTGGGGGATATGTATTCAACGGGACAGGTAGTACTGAGAAGATATTTTATTTTAATAAAGATATTTCAACTTTGTATTTACAGGATAGGTAATATTTGTACATTTGCAAATTATGTAGAAAAGAACATTAAGGTAAGAGTCGGATTGATATCAGGTTTACACTGTAGCATGCTTTGAAACTGGAGGAAGGTGAAGTTACCAGAATCCGCCAAGAGCTTTGTTCCAAGGCAGTGTCTTCAGAGAATGATTAAGTACTGTTTTTATTTCACAACCATAAAAATAAATGCTGAGATAATAATGTTAAATCGTCACATTTATGTAATACCATGATAATAACTTTTTTGTCTGTCCGTGATTGTAACATCGTCACTTTGGTAACATCATCATAGACTTACTTAAGTGACATCACCACTGACTACCTAATGAAACGCTTTCAACGAATACCTTCGTTTAAACCATCACTGACTACCGTTGAGATCATTAACTATGACAACTGTGGTAATACTACAACTGACAACCTTGTAAAACATCACTCAAGACTACTAATGATACCGTTACAACAGACTACCATGATTAACACCTCCAATGAATACCATAGTTAACATCTTCATTGACTACCTTAGTTATTATCTTCATTGACTACCATAGGTAACACCTTCAATGGCTACCATAGGTAACACCATCAATGACTATCATCGGTTACACCATCAATGGTTGCCATAGGTAACACCATTAATGACTATCATCGGTTACACCATCAATGGTTGCCATAGGTAACACCATCAATGACTACCACAGGTTACACCATCAATGGTTACCATAGGTAACACCATCAATGACTATCGTAGGTTACACCATTAATGGTTGCCATAGGTAACACCATCAGTATAGACATGAAAAAAGTGTACTCACTATTTTTTTTTATCACTAAATGTCTTGCATTTTCTTTTCTCTACACTTTTATGCAAGAAACGTGCTGTGTTAAATTTTCAGTTTGCTTTGCGCTTTTGAAATCATCACTGAATAGTTCAATAGACATAGGGAGAACAATTTAACGGTTGATTCAAGTAGCGGTAACAGGATAAACATGCATTTCATGTACGCCGATTGAATTTAGTTTGTAGAAAAAATGTCACATAGAATAATGAAGAAGCTGCTATTTTTCGTTATAGTTATCATTAACATAAAAAAAGCTCTTTTGCATATATCAAGGTAATAAGAAAATAAGAAAAACAATCATTTGAAATGTGTACCCTGACACTGTACGCACATAAACTACCCAAAAATCGGAATTAATATATTTTTAATCTTATCAAAATAGATATAAATCGTGTTAATTATTGATGTTCTGACTCATAAATCATACAAACTTTCATTTAAACACTTACAACTGCATTTTCCTTTAAGAATAAAGATATAGCAAAGGTGTACTGAAAATTCGACATTTTTTGAAAAAAGACCCATTATTACGAGGGTAGGAATGCCCTTTATCGCCAAGCGTGAAACGTCCGATTTTCTCTTTTGTTATCGTAAATCGTCAAATCTCATTTTGTATAGCTAACGTTAGCGCCAAATGGAGTAAAAGGTGTATCGTTAACGTTATTTCAACAAGTATTTTACCGTCATTCGTCATGTGGGGTACCCCATTACTGCTCTTATATATACCCAATGTCTGATGTAGCTGTTCAACAGTGATACTAGTATACTTACTCAGTTTATCTTCTGTTTTCTCTTGCGTAAAACCAGCAAGTACACGAACTATTTATTGTCAGACATAACAAACATAATTGTTTGCTGACAACTTGTTATTTAGTGTAACATATGTAATAAGGAAGGAAATGCATTTCCAGAAAGTCGAATTATTTATAGCCGTAGAAGCTACCTTTACACTTCTCATTGCCGATCGATATTAAAACAAGATCACATGACGTAATGTATACTACTTTGTGAATGAATTTTACGACATATTAAGTATGTGCATTTTTAATTGGATCATGTAATTGCTATGCTATTTAGATGCTTTGGTTTTTGAGCTATTTATATCTAGGTGATAATTGGTACTTTTACGTATATCAAAAGATGTGAATACAAATTGTATGAATGTCAATTAAGGGGATATGAAAGTGAAAGTACAGGAGGTATGTCGTTGATAGGGACTTTATTATTATAACTTTCTTAGGGAGCTACCATTTGATTTTTTGGGGGGGGGGATAGAGTGAAAATTAAAAATGCAGGACAGAGATTACAACTAAAAAAAAATGCAGGACACAATTTTTCATCCTAGCCCCCATAAAAATCAAATGGTAGCTCCCTTATGTTATTAAAACAAGTACGCATGAATGTATGGTTTGAATGAATTTTGAAAAATTTAGCCAAATAGGTTAATTATTTTTCAGAAAACATTTACCATGTTTACTACGTGTGAATTAAAAGACACAAATTTAAGACAGTGCTCAAATTAATCAATCATATCTATTTAAAGCCTATGTCAGGTGAATTCATACAATAAAAAAAAAAACTGCAATATAGCAGTGTGTGTATTATTCTAGAACTGCATTTATACTTACATGTGACTTCTGTAATAGTTATACACCGAGGGATAGGTGTGTCTGGATAAGAAACCCCGTCGGCCGGAGGCCGGAGGGGTTTCTTTTCCAGACACGCCGTATCCTGAGGTGTATAACTAACTTACACCCCATTCTAAACCCTATATTTGTTAACATTGATTATAAAATTAAAAAAAAAAAAAAAAAAAAAAAAAAACGATAGCATATTTATTGACAAAATCAAACCATGATTTATAAGAATATCTTTTTATTACAAGAAACCCCACTAGTAACCTTTCATTAGTTATCTTCGTTCAAACTTTGACAAGTGAGTATATTTTACAAATGTCAAGTTGTTTTGCATATTCCGTAATAGTTATACACCGAGGGATAGGTGTGTCTGGATAAGAAACCCCGACGGCCGGAGGCCGGAGGGGTTTCTTATCCAGACACGCCGTATCCCGAGGTGTATAACTAACTTACACCCGATACTAAACCCTATATTTGTTAACATTGATTATTAAATGAAAAAGAACGGATAGCATATATATTGACAATATCAAACCATGATTTATAAGATTTTTTTTTTTTACATGAAACCCCACTAGTAACCTTACTTTGGCTATCTTCGTTCAAACTTTGACAAGTGAGTAGATTTTACAAATGTCAAAAATGCTGTTTTGCATATTCCCGTTAAATCCATGTGTTAATATAGATCAGCAGGTCAAGGTTGACCGTTTCGTATTTTATTTAAAAAAAAAAAATACATCATGCTCCTTGTATGCAGTTGTCAATATGGACGGGTAAAAAACAGACGACAATTTGAGTCAAGCGTTGGATTTGGTAGAAGAGACTAAAGATAAAGGCAATATTATAATCCAAAGTACTTACCTGTATCAGTTTAATAAAGGTAATCATAACTGTATTTTATATTTTATATCGTACGATTTTATCAAAAACGAAAGCCCCCCCCCCCCTCTTCCCGAGAATAAACAGACATTCATATTTGAACATACTAAGGAATAGGTGTGTCTGCATTAGAAACCCGACTACCAGACACGCTCAACATACAATATTTAATATAGAGGAACTCCCTTTTTGGGGGCAATCAGGGGCTGATCCAGCCGAGGGTTCCCAACTCAAGAGAAAAAAGGAGGGGGGGGGGGGGTCCAACCATTCAAGTGCATTGATCTTTTAAATAAAAGTCGGGTCCAACCCGCGGAACCCAAACCCCAACCCCGGATCGGCCACTGGGTAACCGGGGGCGGGGGGGGGGGGGGGGGGGGGGGGGGGGCGTAGAAAAGAGACATATGACTGGGATAAAAAAAAATTACCTTCAAGCAAAGGAGTATTTAAAGGATTATTTTTGTATTCAAAATAGATGCTTATTGGAATTTCCTAAAATCTGTTATTTTAATATCATGAAACAATTTGTAGTGAACACTATTAGTAATTTCTTATGTTCATTCTATTTAAAAAATAATCAATTTCTATTGTTACGAATAACAATGGACTTTGTTTGCGGGATGTAGAAGCAGGGGTTTCCAGAAACCCCGCTCGTCACACCCTGTGGTCAAAATCCATTGTTATTCGCAACAACAGATCTATTCAATTTACACTTGTTTCAGAAATAGAAACTATGAAGTATAACAATAGAACTGGGGTGTAAGTTCAGCGATGCAGTTAGTCAGTTTTTAAGACTGTTGGAAATCGATTTCCTTTTTTTGGACGGTAATTTTCCTTTGGTCCCTTCTTGCGGTATTTATATTTCATAACTTGATTCCTATGCCTGTGCCTGTAATGAGGTCTTAGATTTCAATGAACGTAATCTATGTGTAACTGGTAAATTATCAAGTCAGGGTATCGATGCCACAAATTGATTAAAACTTTTACTTAATTCTATCATAGATACAAAGATTTGGTTTGGACTTTTGACTGTACCGTACAGCAAAACCTCATAACCAAATCTGAGCCATACTACCTGTTTAATAAGTGGGATATCGCATCCTAATTTATAAGGTAAAAATTCGTCACTTTTGTCGTAAATTTAGTATAGAGTTTCCCTTGTGAAATTAAATATCTATACTAGGAAATTAATTTCAGGTTAGGGTGATGGTTGGTGCCTGTTAAAACGTTTCAACCCGCTGCATTTGTTTGCACCTGTCTTAAGTCAGGAACCTGTTGTTTAGTGGTTGTCGTTTGTTGATGTGTTTCTTAAGTGTTTTTCGTTTTTTTTTTTTATAGATTAGACCATTGGTTTTCCTGTTTGAATGGTTTCACACTAGTCATTTTGGGGTCCTTTATAGCATGCTGTTCGGTGTGAGCCAAGGCACCGTGTTGAAGGTCGTACTTTGACCTATAATTGTTTACTTTTTGCACATTGTGACTTGGATGGAGAGTTTTCTCATTGGCACTCATACCACATCTTCTTATTTCTAAGCATATCATATTGTGTTGTGTTAAATAGTATATATATAAAGATTAATTCCTTTGACTTACGGAAAAAAACAGCTGTCCAACACTCTAATATCGCGCTTGACTTACTGAAAACTCTTTTATCCCCGGCTTAGAAAATTTCTCGGATTTTGTTTGGCTAACGCACGTCGTTAAAAAAAACCATGTACCCGGTTGTTGCTACCCATTACCCCGGGGAACTTCACGCACGTTTTTTGTAGTATCATGGTTGTTCACAGTGAAAAATTTAAATCTGTAGATAATCAATGATGTCTGTAATTAAATATGTAATTCAGTAACGGTTTTATCCTATATTGACGATCATTGGCATTTTTTTTTGTAAATGCATCACTTGGCTACCACGTCATCAATGAACATGACTACTGGCCTAGATTTGAAAATGACCCACGTTGACGTCACACTATCTATAACGTAACACTCACGACTATGAGCGCCAAATTTGATTTATTCTAGTTTTTCTGTCTCTGGATTAAAAACGTCATATATTCAACTACCTGTAGGGTTCTACCATAGGTGGTACACTCCGTAAAAAATATGTCAAATTTCCTAATTTCAATAAAACATTTTTTTATTGTTAAAAACGCGTTGCTTTAACAATATACATTTGTCCGAATTTCTCTAAATATCGCACCCTGTACACTGTATAATCTTCGGCTTCGCCTCAGGATGTACTGGGATACTTCAGGGTGTTAAAATACCCATATCTACGGATATGAACGTTGATAACCTATATTAATATCGGGGGCAGTACTTCGTAGAATATTTCAGACTGCAACGTCAGACATTGAAGTGGATGAAAATATTAGAAAAAAGATGTCCATTTTAAACAAACTATGTGCAATGAGGACTCAACAGTATGGTTACAATTTTCAACCATAGGTTTATAAGGGCCAAAGGAAATTTAAGAACACGAGAAGGGTAAGCTTTATGTTATATTTCCATAAAAAGCTGGTTGTGAAAAATAACTAGTAAATAGTTTACATAAACAAATTTACATACATACATGTAAGACAAAACTACAAAAATCAACATCTGGCGAATTACATAATATAAATAGGTTGATCTCTTCCTTATGGGCATACGATACAGTTACAGGGGAGGTAATGACATTGCTAACGTAAAAATGTTATTTTAGCGACGTCAAACTGCGACATAACGGGAAAAGATGCATTTTTCGAGTGATTTTAATCATTAGCTTGAAAACAAGTACATGAACTCCTCTTTTTTAAAATGACATTCGACTTGATACTGAAGATTATTTGTTCCAATTTTTATGAAGAAAGCACCGATGAAGTTTTTTTTAAATTAGATAAATAAACAGCAAAAAAAGCCGTTTTTTTTCTAAAATAATGAAAATTTGATAAAAATGAATTATTTCCAAAGAATTGTTACACAAATAAAGAGCATAATTTTGTAAAGAAGATATTCCAAATCATTTTACAAAAATCCGTATGTGTTTATCTCTCGAAACAAAAAAGTTAAGTGTGTCTGTCTAACGGATAGAAATGTTCAAGAAACTGAAATTTTAAGTAAATGTCTGAAATTTCGACCCCATTTATCTCTAAATTTAGCACATGAAGGTATATTTTTTATTATATATTTGAAATGACAAGGTGAAAAACAGCTTGTATGCAAATTTTCGTAAAATATTTACCGTTGGATCGAAACTGTATCGTATGCCCTTAAATGTCGGTCATACCAATACAGACTTCTAATATAATTGACAGAAATAATAACACATAACAAATTATATTAACATCTGATTGATTGAATGCTAAAAACATTTACGAAGTTGATACTGTCCAATCTCATTAAGATAAAGGCCTTACAATAGAAATGTAATTTTCTAAGAAGACTGTCTTTACCTCTGGGTAACTTTTTT